TCTGCTCCTGGATCATCCTGGATGACCATTCTGGATCATCCACCCATTTACAGTTGCTTACTAACATTCCTTGGTACATTTAACATTAAAGGCAAATTTCAACTCTTGAATTAAACGAATAAAAGAATAGGGAATGAAATTAGTTTTTGCAAATGAAGTTTGACACCCAGAATTCATACTCAAGTTATCATAGAACAAAACATAAATACATAAATAATAGCAAATTACAGTTTTTAGTTTACAATTCACACACGAAAACTGCTGCTGTTCTAGTTTTGGAAACATTTGTAAATATGTATTGTATATTAAAATATTCAAGCTGAGCTATTTGTTAAATATACAAAGAACTATGTATATAGAGATGCACACAATTACCACAATACCGCAAGCAAAACAAAACAAAAAAAAAGTTATTTTATACAATTATAGCCTGTAGTTTCTAAAAATGTATATCATGGCTAAAGAAAAAAGGAGAAAAAGTTTACCCTTAGAATTTTTTTAAATACCTTTTTCAATATCTTGTTTCATCATTAATTGGTACATTATCACCGATTCCAATCTGACAGGTTGTAAATGTCAATGTATTAGTATAGGGTTTGTGCTCGGTGTACATCTAGTCACATGCTCAATGTAAAGCCCTTCCCCACCCAATCACACAACATGCACATTTCAAAAACCTCTCATGGATTATAAGGTTTTTAAAAAATTACTGTATTTAAAATAGTTCTGCATCTCTCACAATCTTTGAAAAATGAAACAGACAAAGGTAACAAAATACTAAAATACTTTTGCATTAGTTGTCACATCACTGCTTGAGAATAAGCAGTCATATTGGGTAATAATAATAAAAAAAAACTTTTAAAAAATGAAACAGTTTTTCACATAATCAGAATGCCTATGGCATTGAAACTGTATACACCCTCTTGATTGACAGTTGGCCATGAGTTATTTTTTTGTTGTTGGTACTTTTGTATTGAAAATCTCAACCCAGGCTCATTCTGATTACGTACCCCATATACATTTCTGGAGAGAGCAAAATACGTCCTATGATCTAAGTTTTTTTGCGAATCCACCAGAGTTCGCTGTGTACGCTTTTTCAGATCTCAAATTTCTCTCACGAGTGCCATTCACGCCTGTTGTTCTCACTTAAATCCGAGAACTCTGTCGACTGACTGATCTACCGTCTGACCAACAGACCGATCCCGATCCCCTTCTAAACCTAACCTATAATATCTTAAAAAGCACCAACTTACCCGCCCAACTCCTTCCCCTATCGCAGTGTTTCAAAAAGCAATCCAAAAAAAGAAAAGCCCCCTAATTTTTACCACGTTTTCAGATTTTACCACTTTCTCACCCTGTTAATTACTTGTCTATTTTATTTTTTAGCTTTTGTTTTTGCCTTACCTGCTTTCTGGAACCAGCCTCGTTGTCACGGTCAAGTCCTCTTTGCATCTCAAGTCTGCCGACCTACATGTCGAGCTACCAGAAAAACTGGCAACAGCGGAGAAGCCATTCATACGGATGTTACCGGTCAGCTGGTAAGTGCGAAAAGGATTGACATCATACTGCCACATTACGTTCGGTTTAAAGACGAAATGCAGCCATAAGTTCCTCTGGCTACATAATTCTCGATCTTCAGAAATGTATATAGCGCCACATTTTCAGAATGAGCCTATGTTGAAAAATCTCAAATCGTCTAGAAGCATTGGTTTCCCATCATATGTATATTCCGAATGCACAAACACACAAAACAAGACACCCAGTTTGTATCCAGGGCTAATGGGAAGACTTGAGTGAAAACAAACTCAACAGCCACTGCTGCGTCAAGAGAATGAATGACATGGACATTCAAACCACAACCACCTTCTTGAGGTCTGTAGAAATCATGGTCCCTGCTTTGCTGATAGTGGTTAACATGTCCATCAGCGGGTAATTCAGAACGGTACAGTGCGGTTTATTCAGACCATGGTCATTATGATGGAGCTTCGCAGATTAAAAAAACTCCTCGAATTGAAACATAAAAAGATTTCTGTGTGTGTGAGATCCACTGAATGACCATGACTGTTACAGCAACACACACTGATGGTTTAATAAAGATCCCAACTGTGCTTTGGAATATCTACATATATCTACAGTATAAAGTGCAGCACATCAGAACAGCCGGATGAACGCTTAATCCCATAGGAGCATGATGATTCTGACATGGCATGAGATAAAATACAGTTTGCATTGGGATCCAGTTGCATTTTACCTCCAAATACCGCACGAGATTTGTAGATCAAATGTAACAAAAATGGCATAGTGCGCTACAGGTGGAAAATACCTGTGTTGTTTAAGCCATTTCAGAAGCATCTGTGTACAGACACTATGGGGTTTTGTTTCTTTTTCAATGGAAAACAAGTAAGGGAGAAGCAGAGTCGAAGCTCTGATAGTGCAAATCAGCATTCAACTGAGATCACCCCCTGATTCAGTTAAAGTTTTCAGTTTTGTAACGTTCAAATGGTGTCTTGAAATTGGAAATCTCTCTGGTGGTTTTCCCCTCGCAAAACATACAAAACACAGCTGATTCTAGTACACTTAAAGCCCTTCAGAAACATTACAAAGCAGTCAGGAAAATGAAAAGCAAAAGATGCCACATAAGCAAGATGTAAAACCAGGAATAGGTGGTCTGCATATGACAGGGCTTCTTGTGTTAAGCTCCCCTGCTCACTCTTTCCATGTGTCAGGCTGATAGGGATCAGGTGGAAGGTAAAGGGAGTCTGGGGCGAACCCTTGTTCTACGCAAGATGACACTCTCACTATCCGGTTTCACTTACTCTGAGACGAGGCCTGAAACTTTAGCTGGCCCACAGACATACAGGATAACCAGTGTCTGTGTATATATTAGCTTTTGTGTGTCTTAGCACTCGAGGTACTGCTGTAGTGCTGAATCTGTCAAAGCAAACCCAGGCTCAGGAAAAAATATGTGCCTGTGGCCACATTTTTGCAGTTGCTTTGTTTTGATGTGCGTTTTGTGTGCACCGTTAACTGGTTTTCCTTTATCTGAGTAAGGTCATTAACGGCTTAGGCATAAAAAAGTTGTTTATGTTAGATTTTTTTGTCCCTTAAGCCAATTTCATCCAGTATGTACAGGGTTCAGCATATAAGTACACCCCTCACAAATCTCTCTTTTAAATTCATATTTTTATTAGGAAGCTATACAATATTTGTGCATATACATTAGATTAGTCAGAACTGAAGCCAAATCTAAAGCCTATCTAACAAAATAGCTAATGATATCGGTCCAAAAACTAGTACAGCCAAATTTATATGTTATAGAAAAATATTAAACACAAACTTAAAAAGGAGGAAAAATTAAGAAAAGCAAAAATTTTTACACTTTTGTTGAAATTTTGTAGTTTGTAATTAATTTTTTTGCAACAGTTTGCTTGAATTTAATTGTAGTATTTTTCACATTCTAAATATGTTTGGTGACTAAAATATTATTTTAATAAATAAATCTGTTTAATAAATCTGTTTTGTTTAAATGCACCAAAATGCATTGCCTATATTCACTGAGAAATTGATAAAAAATATTCATTTTCAAAATGGGGTGTACTAATTATGCTGAGCACTGTAAATGCTTTAACTTGCTTTCTGTCAATTGAAAGAAGTATGCAATGTGACTAGAACCTGTACGTAAAGAGTTAGTTTCTCCAAAGATAGAAATTCTCAAATAAATACCATTAATTATTATCGCATTAAAGCGCAAAGAACACTTTTGTGCACCAAGAAAAACTTGACCTTCAGATTCAGATCAGTGTGTGCATAACATAATGGTTTTGGCAATACATCATATTGGCTGTAGTAAATGTGCAACCTAACCCGACAAGGAAAATATTGACGAACAAACAGTTTTTTGCATTGTGTTTTTGTTGCACAAAAGTATTCATGGAGCTTTGCATGTTTACTGTTGAACCACAGAAGTCACAAGGACTGTTTTGATGTTTCATATCTTTTTCTTGACTTTGAACTAACCCTTTAAAAATACCTAAAACTATTATAAAATGCTGCATCTCGTACAGCAGACATAGAAGTGGTAAAATCAAAGCTTTGCCTCTTGAGAGGATAATATTTGAGTTTTATGTTTATAGTATTAAAGGCAAAATTTGATACCTGACTCATATCTGATTGTTCGCGACCCAAAAGCAATGCTGGACCAGGTGAGCCACTGAGCAAGTTTACTATGCCCAAAAAACCTAACATATGTTTTCATTTACAAATCATGCACACTATGAAAGTGATTATTTACTTTACATAAAGAAGTGAGTAAACCTGCTGTAACTTGCAACTGTTAAGTTGACTTAACTTAATTTTTATAATGCACTACTGTTCAAATGTTTAGGGTCAGTAGGATTTTTAAATGTTTTAAAATAAGCTTATCCTGCTCTCCAATGTTGCATTTATTTATTAAAAATACAGGACAAACTGTAAAATTGTTATTGCACTATAAAATAACTGTTCAAAGGCAGTTTCTAATTTAATTTAATCATTTATTCTAGTGATTTTAAAGATAAATGTTCAGCTTCATTACTTTTTCAGAGTCACATGATCTTTCAGAAATCACTCTAATATAATTAATTATAATAATAGAAAACTGACCCCAACCCTTTGACTGGAAGTGTAGTTCATTTAATTGATAATTTAAATGCAGTGGTTTTTCTCATCTATATTTTTCAGTAAATAAAGTCAACTAATTAATTTGTACAGTAAGTTTTAAGGAGACAACACTGTAATCATAATAAGCTTGAAATGTATTTATCAACATATTTTTTGTATAGGTAAGTTTTATTTTTTGAGAAGTTTTGCAAAAATCTTGCCAAAGCCACGTCTTTTTCATTTGAGCCTGGGTAACTCAATACAAGTGTCCTGTTTAGGGTGGTCAACCTATGTTGTCCTTCTAAATACTGAGATAAAAGATGGCACTTATTACAAACACAAGGCTTGATTGCCTCTCTGGCTAAAGATTATTTCCCTTTTTTATATTACAAATACAGCATTGTAAATAATTCCTTGCAATAGTCCCCAGTCATTGTCACAATTCAAAATGAACGATTACTCCTATTTGGAGTGGTAACATGATCTGGATCACATCGTCATCTATTCCTAGCCCCGGCTTTAATCTCTCACGTCTCTCCCTGCAATCTTTTTTTCCATTCCAGAAAAAGAAAGTGAAAAGCCACTTCATAATTGAAAGAATTGGGTTTAGAGTTCACTCCTTGCGTGCCAGTGAAACAAGGGGCAAGTATCCTTTACATCGCTTCGCCATCAGGTGGTCACATGCCTCTAACCTTTTATAGTCTCATGGCCCTGGCACCGGGACCTGTGTAAAATATTGAGTTACAAGCTCCTGCACAATTCACAAATACTTAGAAAGGCAATTAGACTATCAGAAGTGCTAAAAGGTGGAGCTGAAAGATTAAAACAACAAATAAAAAGAGAGAAATAGTCTTAAATGACCACTGGATCAGATGTCAAGCAGAATAAAAGTGGCAAAAGAAAAGTAACAGCGAAATATGAGGCTAGTGACCAAACCTGAAAAATAAAATGACCGATTACAGCACAATTAAAATCTAAATGCACGGCACTATGTACAAACACAAAAATACACATTTTGGGTCTCTAATCCATCATGACAAGTGCTTGAGAGGAGAAATAGACTATTTAAAAGTAGCAAGGATGCATTTAGTAGCTTTTAAAGGCCAAAAGAGACTGTTTGAAGTTGAGAAAATGTCATTGTCTTGACAAACCGAAGCATATTTCTTGTGCTTCTCGACTATTTATTTTTGAAATTGATCTTTCCTCTGAAAGCACACAGCCGGCATGAAGGATTTTGAGATATGAACAAAGATTCCCTTTCAAATCAAACATATACATTTATATATATGTACACCTTTACAAATGCAAGAAACTGCTGTTTGAATTTCACTTAATAATCTGTAAAATGGCATGACTTTCAAAATAAAAAAGGCTGCCTGTTTGCCATTTAAGAATTCTGACCGCAATACAAGTCCCATAATGCCTCTGTCCAAATGAAGGAGGAGTGGAGGCCTCCTTTTCCGTCAGTGGATGTGGAGAGTTCATGAAAGGGCACAAAATAAGTCCACCAGACACATCATTAGCAAAAAGAATAAAGAAATTAATTTTGTGGATGAAGAATCTGATTCTGAAACTCAAAATCCACATTAAATGTATATACACTAATGAAAGATGTTGCGTTTAACCTTCCAGTTAGAAGCAGAAAATGAGTATTTGCCTTTCCTGATGTGTGTCTGTCATTCAGTGCTTCAGGGAAAAGATCCTCCTGCAATCTGCGTTTGGGGCAAATTAACCGCAAAATTAACTTGTGAGGAATTTCTGTTCTTCTTTATGCATGTTGGTAATAATTCACTTCACTTTCTTTCAAAACAAAGCCGGTTGAAGGACATTATGTCCTGTGTGTTCTGTATTATAAAAATGAGCGCTGTCAATCTAAAAAAAAATGTATCTGTAGATACGAGCATCTTGTTTTGCTCATGTTTCCAATTCCTGATTAAGAAAAATAAATAATTAAATAAAAATCTGCGTAGATGAGTGGTTGTCACTTGGTCAGTTTTCCAATAGTCCAGAATATACGAGTTTCATTTTCTGATAGCTTAAAAAAAAAAGAGTGGTTATCACTGGTGTTGCTCAGTTTTCCGATTGTCCAGAAAATGAGATTTTTGTTTTCTGATTTCCAGAACTTGAATTTTCTTAAGATCACGTTTCTTCTGATTCATAGGTACTTGATTGAAGAAAGTCACTATACAGTGATGCCTACACTGATTTCTTTTTTAACCTAACGGTGGATCCCTAAATTTAGTTGACCTGCCTTCTTTGTTTAATTGTGATCCTGTCAAACAATTTATAATTACGTAAAAAGAAATATGAATGAAATAAAAAAAAACACGACATTGTTTCATTATTAGTTATTAATAGTATCTAACTGAATGTACTTCTAGCAATATTCCAGTGTATTATTGAAATTGCACTTTGAAACTACAGTTAGGTACAAATACTTCATTTTAGCAAACAGGTTCAAGTACTTAAAGCAAAAAACATGAGACTGTCATCTAAATGTATAAGCCAGACATTTATAATATGATACCGAGTTTAAAGCACTGCGAAGTACTTCTAGAGGAACGACTATTAAAGACAATTTTTCAAGGAGCGCATCAGAAAGGTGTCTATTCTGAGAGTCCATTTCCCAATGTGGAAATGTTAGTTATTTCGAATTAATTCAAACTGCCTTTAAAGAACATTTCAATCTATGTATGGGCTGTCATAAAGTCCCATTAAAATGTTTTGTTTGTTTTTCCCTCCAAATACACTAGCAGCTACAGTGCCACGTTCTTAAAAAGCAACAGACACTAAAGTGAGATCCCATTAGTATTATTTGTTTTTTCATAAAGTGCCCTAAAGATTGTGCAGTTTTCTTTTCAACTCAGCATGAGTAAATATGCTTTCACTGTCAGCGATGCCGACAGAAATAAACAGGCCTGGAACAGTTTGGGTCCCCATTTTTATACATATATAATCTAAAACCGCTCCCCTCTTTCCCGGTCCCTGTCCTGTCAGCGCCACCGTTTACAGTACTGCATATGGAAATAAATTAGGTAACCTAAACAAGCGTCAACTACGTTTATTCTAGTTTGTTCTCTTACATGCGTTTCATTTTTAATTAGTTAATTTACTCATTGTCATTAAAATAAATTAGATCCTATGATAATTACTTCATTAAGCGGAATAGAACTGAAGCTTTTTTCGTCCCTTTAAAGTAGATATTTTAGGTGCCATATTTGAAAGAGCTGTTAAATTTCCTTTTGTTTACTATTTAGGTTTGGCGTCTAAATTGAAGGGAAAGTGTTTCTGCAGCTCCTCGACTAAATGACGTCGGACTCCACGACGCACTGCTCCGTGTACTCCTTGACCAGCTCAACTTTTAGGGTCTCCCGAAAGAATTCGGCCATCGGCTTCCACAGCGCAGGCTCCATGAACACCTGGCACATGACGTAACCCTTCAGAGTGCCAGTGTGGCGCCTCAGGTGGCACAGCAGCTGCTGGATGGCCAGTGTCAGGTTTTTACCAAACATGTCGATGTTGAGGTAGTACCAGTCGTCACCGATTGGCACGTGAAATGGGAAGGTGCACAAGCTGGTCATGGTTGGGCGCTTGGCATCGTCGACCATCCAATCGATGTCCTTCTTCATCAGGATGGCCATGTTGCTGGGTAGAGGCTTGAAAGGCTGCCAGTCTTGAACGATGGTGGCATTGGGTAGGACGTCCTGCATTAGCACATCGCTTAAGAAGAGCTGATGCACTTCTGCTGGCTCCAAGCAGACCGGGATGTTTGCGGTGGACAAAGCCTCTCCTGCTACACTGATATTGGGCCCGAGATCACCAAGGCGTAATTTTAGGTCTTCAGCACGGAAGCGTACCAGGAGGATTCCCTTTTTATTTGAATCATGCGACAGAACGAAGATAATGTGGCTTTAGCTGATTTTACTCAAGACAGCCTAAACACATTTATATATTTCATGTTAGCATGTCTTACCTGTTTGGTAATGAGCCGGTACTTCTGGAAGTCTTTTGGCCCCAGTTGGTCGTCTCTGGTCAGTCTGCTGACTTTAACGTCAGGGTACTTGGACTTGACCAGTTGAGAACAAAACCTCAGAAGTACCCCAGCTACACCTTTCCCCCGCTCCTGTGGGGCGACACGAAGCCCTTCCACCAGCATGGTCTCGCCATCATCGATGACGCACACTGACTCCAGCGCAATCTGGAGAATGTAGGTGTATAAAAGTTATATCTATAACAAAGTAAAAATTTTCTTTTTAAACCTGGAATACTGCACATTTTGTTTAAAGGGCACCTATTTTACCCCTTTTTCAAGATTTAAGATGAGTCATTTGTTTCTCCAGAGTGTGTCTGCAAAGTTTTAGCTTAAAACACCCATCAGATTATTTATTATAGCTTTTAAATATATGATTTTCTGCTCTGAACACAATGTAGCTGGTTTTGTTGCCTGTGCCTTTAATTCTAGATCTCCCTGCCCACCGTTCCCCCGTGCCTGTCAGAGTGTGCCTCAATCTCCACCTCAGCTGCGTCAAAAAAACAGCACAGTGACAGACATGAAGGAAGCAGATGTCACGCAACGTTTGTGAGAAATACTACAGTAAGAACTTTCCCAATGATTATTTGATGTATTTGTTATGTAGTTGCACACATGTTGTCACAAAGTTCACGCACGCACACACACAGCATGTGCGTGCGACAGGATGCATGCCAATTTATGCTGCTGTATGGATATCCGTTATGTTAACGTAAAAAATATACCTGATTTAACGTCCAGAAACCGGGATTGAATTGTCTTCATTTACAATTGGTGATGAAGTAAAGACGGTACATTTGCTGTAATTCATTGCAAACATACACTGTTTTAAAAAGATTTTAAACTTGGAAAACTCATTCTTGATTACATTTGATGATGATTGATGATCAGACAGCTGAACTGATCTTTTAATCCCAGTTGCTTTGCACACGTCCTGTCTTGTTGATATGATTTTATGCGTTACTGCAGAGACATGTTAATACGCGGCAGTCAATCAATTCGGTGGGTGGCAAAACCGCACTTCTATGTCACGTTGCGGTAGGCTTCAAAATGGGAGAGATTTGGATCCTATTTTAGCATCATAAAATTAAAGAAAATTTTGCCTTTATAAAATAAAAAAGAAAATATTGCCTTTATATCACTCCAATATGACTGTGGACACACTATACCTACACACAGTTTTGTACAAACAGCTTACAAAAGATGATTTCCATCATAGGTGCCCTTTAAATAAAGTCAAAAATGAAATATAGCCATGTACATTCATCACATTGTGAAAGGCTAAGACTTTATGCCATTTCTATAGTGACGTTTAGCAGAACTACAAAATAAATCATGTTTTAAATGTTTTTCAAATGCCTTTTTTGCATGTCACACCTCTCGCAATTAAAACAATACAAATTTCGATTAAATTACAGCTCTATAAAAGTGGAGCCATGTCTCAAAAGGTAAGAGACATATTAGAAATAAGTTGACGTTAACATGTTGTGAAGATACTTTGCAAGTTTGACGTATCAACTGAATCATTTGACATATCAACATTACATGTAATTCCTTCATCTTGTGAACAAACCATTGCTCCACTCCCCAATCCCACACTGGCTAAAACCTTTGCCTCTGCCTGTTATTGCAGCCACATCCTAAACTTGACTATTAAATGCATTAAGGTATGCAAAAACATATAAGGTTGGCCATCCAATAATGCAATGATTTATTTTATGGTCCTTACACTTTTACATATGTATATTTATATTTCAGTTGACTCACTTCATGTGTTCCAACCAACTTTAATTCAGTATTATGACATATTTCTAGCTGAAACAGAGCATGTATATATTTATTTATTTTCATATGGGCTATAATTGAGTATATATTATCTTTCCCAAAAACCTAGAGCATGGCATATTTGCCATTTAAGAAGTTCACGTTCTGTGATGTGATTAACCAGTGTCTAGCAACACAATCAATCAGTGTATGGGATGGTATTTTGTCAGTATATATATCATGTGCCATATAAAAATGCCGCCCGTTCATATAAGCATAAGTGAATACATAATTCATTTTGGGTGAACTTTTCCTTTTAAGGACTGAAGATGGAACATGTATGCACAAAAGCCTCCATATCCGCTTTCTTACCACTTTCCCTTGCTTGCGAGCCAAAATGACAGTGCGGTTGCTCTCTTGCAGCCAAGCCTGATAGCGGGAGGGCAGATAGTCCAGACCGCCATAGATGTCCTTGCTCATGGCCATAATGTCATCAAAGTCCTCTTCTGTGGCCACTGTAAACTGTAGGCCGGTCTGAGGAGGAGCCTCAGGGAGCTGAGAGCAAGGCAGGCTGTTTTCAATCTTCATCCTTTAAGCTGAAGACAGACAGAGAGATACAATCAGATTTCAACTTGAGCATCACACTATGATCTCCGACCTATGATTTTTTTGGTTCACCTTTATTTTAAGTTTGTCAAAATAAAAACAAATGTGTGCAGGTGCTTATCAACCCAGTGCAAGGTTTGAGCTTGATGTCGCAGTGCTTATCATCCCGCGCCAACACGCCAGCAGGTTGGCATCAGTAGCAGTAACTATGCCCAAATGCGAGACAGCCAACGCGCATACACAGACATGTCCACCTCCTATTGCCAGAACCCTTAATCCTTTTTTTAATTCTCACTGAACAGCATTGCGCTGGTTCCCAGAGGAAAATCAACACATTTTTGTAAGGACTTGGGAAATAATGGTGTGAGACGTCCAGGGGAAGGTGGAGCGGATGGGTAGGCAGATGTGTGCAGGCACGCATACATGGGTGCTGAGTGTCGGGGGATTGAAAGGCTGAAAATCCATGCAGGGGGAGCAACGCTGCAAACAAGTCACAGAGAAAACATTGTTTGCACCCCCTTGGGCCCTTACCGGTTGAGAAAGCCCTGGTACTTTTCCATTGATGCACTACTGTAATGGGAAAGCCCTCCATGTCTGCCTGTTTGAGTTTGGCAAACGTGTATTGGGCAGCACTTTGTAAGGCTGTGACAAAAACTATTCATTCATGCTTCATTTGCCTATTGCTATGCAATATTCGATTTCCACATTTCCATGTGACCGTCTCTCATAGTCTTTCATTTGTCCTTCGATTTGTAATGGAGTTGTGCGCTTAAACCGAACGGATGTCTGATATTTCCATTGGGCTGAATCAATGTTTTACCCTAGTTTCCCTAAACTAACTCATGCCCAGTCTAAGTCTGGGTAACCCTTATTAACCCCAAATTAATTTAGCTCTGAAAATAAGACAACGAAAAATCAAAGCACCAATTAGCAAATTCCATCAGGTTGGTGCGGTCTGTGAGGCTGGATAGAAGTCTCTTAATGAGGTCCAAACAATCTCCAAAAAAAGAGGTACAAAAATATAAGTGAAACTTACAACTTCTCTTCAGCACCAAACGTGTTAATTAGTGCTTGTGAACATGTAGATATTGTGCGTGACATCTTCAGCTGAGATGTGTTATATAAATGCCGCTGTTATATCACAGGGCTTGTCATCTCTCTGTAGGATACACTTTAAATTCGCTTCAGGCGGAGTTATTACAATTACATCACACTGAAGGAGAGGATGGATGTGAAAATAGTATAACATCAGGAAGGAGAAACACACTTTACCTCTTAACTCTTGAACACAGATGTGAAAGTGGAGGTAATTCATAAATGCTTCATATTACAGAGCAGAGGTTGGTTTCTTTTTTTAAAACATTTAAGTGAAATAGACATTTGAAGTCACTATGAAGACAAGGCATTCTTGACAATAAATGCTTATTTGTAAAGCCCTGAAATAAGACCATCAGCCAATATCTTTCTGTTTTATAAATTGTTGTTGAATTATTTCTACCGTTGAACTGAGTCAGATGTGCGATGTTGGCCATAAGGCTTTTGATTGGTGCCTTCCACATGACAAGGCATGATGTACACAGCAGATGTGTGCTTTAAAAGTGGTCGTGCTAGAGGGAAGACAAGATGCCGTCAGTGTGGGAGTTTTTCACAGTGCAAAAGAGGATTGCAGAATTGCAATTTGTAAACGCTTGTGGAAAAAGGAAATGCTTTAAAATAATATAAGATGTCCATGGTATTTGTAGCATTTTTTTTTTAATCAGGCTAATCAAGATGTATATCTGTTGAACTATATGTTTTCACTTTCCAAATACTACATTAAGTTATCATATCTGCCAAACCTTCCAAATAAATGCATGAAAATATTTGGAATCTGATTTTGCTTAAACAATAAAGCCATATATCTAATCATGCTACGCATTTGAAGCTGATATCACAAAAATGTGGTTTCAGTGTGACTTTGACACCATTCTGGAAATACTGAAAAACTCCTTTAAATTTTTGTCACAAATCAATCAATCAATCACCATATCAACATCACTATCGAAAACATGAAAGTCAGAAAATGTGAAATCCTAATTGTCTGGCAATTAAAACAATGTGTGTTCAAATTATCCAAAAAGATTTGAATATAGAATAGTTTGCATTTTGTAACTACACAACTTTGGACCTCAGGATATGAATCTTCCCTTTCGGCATTTGGCAGCCTCTTTCATCCAAAATCTACACTTTATCAGTTCATGCATTTCCTAGAAATCACACCGAAGATATGGCTGTTGCTAAGATGCTCTACAGTGTGAGACATTTCACAGTCCCGACTGTGGTTATAGATCTGGGGTTGGCAATATAAAAAGCTTCGACCATTGCAAAGAATGATCTGTGGGCTGCAAAGCACTTTACCTCAGTTACTCCATTGGGATTATCTTTTAAATAATAAATGTATGGTGGATGGTTTTAAATAAGTGTCTGCTAAATGACTACTTGCTTAAAGGAATAGTTTTATACCCTTTTATGCATTCTTCACTCGTGCCAAACATGAGTTTTTGTCTACTGTTGAATATGATTTATCCTGGAGAATGTTGAAAAATGCCTGTTTTTGTTCCTGTTTTTCAGAATACCTTGTTTTGCGTTCAACAGATGAAAAATGCATAAATGTTTAGCACTACTTAACTTCAATGATGTGGACACTTTCATTTTTGTGTGAACTTCTCCTTAAATTAACAGCATAGAATTGATTATTACACATTTAACCCCTGCTCCCGCAATCTGTTCAAGCTGTGAAACTGCTTTGGTCAAGCAGATTGTCATGAGATTATAAAAAGCCAATGATTTTATGCATACCATTCTAGTGAAGTGTCTCATTTGACTAAAAATTTGGCACAATTTTAACAATCAATGGGCGTCATGAGAGAAACTGCTCAGCTTGATTGATATTTGAAGCATTAAAGACTATTAATTAGATTTAATTTTAACTGAACGCTGTTTTACTGCAGAATATTAACAACACAATCACATAATACTCACTGTACCGTCAATGTAAAGAACAAAACAAAGATCAGACATGTCTGTCTGTGAATCACAGTTTTGTTTTCATCATGGAATTGCACTAAGGATTAAGGATCCACAATATATCATGACACTGCATCTCAGGCGGTTCCCCTCCCGTCTATTTGTTTATATAAATTCATTAGACCAGATTATGAAAGCGCAGAGGATAACCTTGAAAAATAATGTCTCTTTCATAATATCAACATTTTAAATCACTGCAGTATGATTTAGAAAAGGCTTATGTGTAATATGTAGATTTAAAAATTAGTGTTTATCAATGCGTGACTTGCCGTAATGCTATGAAATTTGTTGGCTCTCGATGCCTTTATGCTTTAAATGCTTTTTTCCCATACACTGTCATAATGGTGTCTCATGTCAGCATAAAATCAAACTGGTATTGGTTAAAGTCGTCAATAGTTTTGAGCACACATTTAGGTCAATGACAAGTTCTGTCCTGTCACATGTGGTGAGCATGAAAGCAAAGTGGACACAGCAAGTGCTTTATGAATACACGACAGCAATCTGAGAATACCAAAGAGATTGTGATTTAACAGAACAGCTCCCTCATTATTTATTCTCCCTCATGTCATTATAAGTGTCTGGGTCATGAAACACAAAATTAGTCATTCTGAAGTATTTTTGCACTACTCGTTGTATACAACAGCAGTTCACAAATGACTCCAAAGAGAAATTTTAAAACTACATTTAATTTCTGAAAGTTTCTTTCACATTGAAACTTCTGCACTTCTAAGTCAAGTTAGGACCAAGTGTTTAGGCACCAGTGACTTCAAACCTGGTGCCAAGGTTGGGGTTAGGGGGTAAAGCTCACAGGGAACTATCATATGACACAAGGCATATGAACTATTTTTATGGTCGGGTTTTGTCCTTTTTTGGAGTATGACTCCCAGGGCCACTATGGAAAGCAGCTGCGTACGGATTCTTTAGAAAAATCTCCACTCTGATCCATGGAGGAAAACAAAAAGAGAGCGAGTAAATAATAAGTAAATTTCCATATTTTTTTGTATTGCATTGCATTTGTTTGCATGCTTGAATAAACACATTTATTGCTGTCGATAATAATGTGTTCAACATGCAAACCAAACATGTGTTAAATTATGACCACCAAAAACACACCTCACTTTTTTTTTTAAACAACCCAAATATATTTTGAAGAAACATATGTGACTTTCATAATGTTGTTTTTCTGTGCCGTTGGTTGACAAGAACACTGTGTCCCAGAATTCTTCAACATATCCTCTTCTGTGTTCCATGTAAAGATTTGGAGACACTTGAGTGAATTGAGAGTACATTTTCATGTTTGGATGAACTACCCCTTTAAATTGTGCTCATTAACCGCAGTATGTGGAGCAACATCAAAAAACCCAAAAGTAGCATCACAAAATGGGCCAAGCATGGCACAATCCTCGCACCACTGCAGCAGCTTTCCGGCACTCCATGGCCATTAATAATAGGCCATGCCATATGTCTCTCCTAGTTCTCGCGGTTATGTCATGTACACTGGAGGTATGGTGCGTCAGCATGGGCATTCACGTGCCAGTGGAAAATAACCATGATGCGGGCCGAGGCAGGAGACTTCATGCCGCACACAAGGGCATTTTCCATCGGTGCATTTATAATCAAGCACTGCACCGCATTCGACCGAATTTCTATAAGACATAAATACGATCGATACACGATATTTTAACCGATGGTGCATTCAGCATCTTACAGTCAAAGCGGTTCTCAGCATCACTGCAATAGGACCTCTATTCATTCGCCCCGCCCCCACTGCAAATACAATTTTACATATAACACACACACACACGCACACATACACACACACATACATTCTTTTTTAAGGATGCAATGCATGCTATATGTAGACTAATACATAAATATGTAATGTTTAATTTGCGTTTAAAGCTAATAGCCAGTAAATGAATGAATGAATGAATGAAAAGTGTGCATTGTGAATAACGTTCTGACATGTCAAGCAGGGAGGCAATTCTTCATATCTTCTGTATGTAAACCCGCTCTATTATTAGTACCAATAGACGCACCGTTAAATTTTCCGTTTCCAACAATGTTGCAGTACCGGCATCCGGCATACATTGAAAAACGTCGCACGCACAGAGACAAATGGGCTACTCGGCATGAATGCCAACATGTAACAAAACCTATAATGAATGGGGGTCTCGGCGGATTCTTAGCATTTCATTTGCTGCCAGGTCGTATCTTAGAAATATTAGTTTGGAGTCGCGCAAAATGGCCGCAAAAAAGATTATGCACGGCAAATGCGTGATATTCATGGCAATCCGAGGACGTGAAATTCCAAGTGCAGCGGCGGTGTGAGCTCGAGCTCCTGGCACACGCTGCGCTGCGAGAAAAGCCTTTCTAGCGGACACACTGGACCAGTTCACTTACCTCTGCGGCGCGCGTCGGACCCGTGAAGGAGACAGAGGTCAGATTGACAGATGCTGAATAGATGTATTGGATATATGGTTGCGCTGCGGATTGAAGAATGGCGGAATATTTAGTGGATGCCGGTTCGGACATCCAATATATGAAGTATGAGGTCACTGTGAAGCCCCTCCCATAATCGCCATCCCCATCCCCCAGTAAGGAGCAAGTGGTATTGCCAACCCCCTGAAGCATCACCCAATCGTGATCGATCTCTCACTCTCTCTCTCCATCTTTCTCTCTCACTCAGTCCCAGTGTCTACATGGTACTATCATCATCATCACGAGTGTGTTGACTTAGTGTACATGCTTTGCTCCCCTTGGTTTTTGCATTTTAAATGGATACTGTACATACACTGCTGAATTTGTGTAAATGTGGTTTGCATACACAAAGGAGGTGGTGTACAGGTGTTCCAATTGCAAAGGTGACATTGGTGGCTTTTTTTGGAGGAGGACACTGTGGTGGGGCAGATTAAAGGTCCTGTAAATTGCTAAACTTTACGTTTTTAAGGCCTGGAGTACACTCTAAAAAATATTGTGTAGACCAAAAAAAAAAAAAAAAAAGAACGCAACAGTGCATTAATATATTCAAGTTACAACAACATCTAATAAAATGAAGCTCAGACAACAGAACTTTATTATGTTAGCCAAATTACCTATTCCTCTTCAATTAAGTTGTTTCAACTAGTTTTTTTTTTATTAAAATGTAAAACAAATCCAGTGTTATATACTTAATTAGATGCAAGTTTTCAAGTATAGAACTTCAAATAAATGGGCCCTAATATGCACAGTTAAAATTTTAAAGCAACGATAAACTTCCGGTGAAAGCTTAATGTGACTATTTTCAATTTCACAAGGTTGTTTTTAAAGCATCGATGTTGTAATGTAATTACAATACATTCAGTTAAACAGTTTAGTTGTTTAAGTGTAAAACGAGCATGCAACTGAGCGTCATCAGTAGCAACAGTTTAGCGCGGAAATTCCATTGAAAATCCTGGGCTAAAATAAACTGTTGTGTTTTAAAGACAATTTTGTAACGGAAAGACAGTTCACCGGAAACCCTTGGGCTGCCTGGCTGAAAATTAAAACTCTGTGTGCATATACAGTAGCCCATTAGGTAGCTGAAATTGTTAAATTTTTTGTTTGTTTTCAAATTTAGTGTTCATTTAGTTGTTTGTAAGAAATACATTTAACAACAACAGATTTTCATTCTTTTACAAAACAAAAACATGCACTGTCCCATATAAACAGTATGAAATTTAAAAAAAACATCAGTGTGTGGAAAAAAAAACTTCATTAGTATGGAAAAAAATGAGTTATTTGCTATTGAATTGCTACAAGTTAGATATTGTTTTAAACTAATTGACAGATATATTTACCTTTAAATTAGCCGCATTTTTAAGTTGATGTATTTATCGATATTTTCCTGTTTTGAAAACTTAACAAAAATTATTCTGGCAACTTAAAAGTTTTGATCTAATCATCAATTTACAATTTGTATGTATTAAGCGGTGTAGTGACAGACCTCTTGAGTTATTTTTTAGAGTGTAGAATGCTTTAAACCAATAGCTTCCTCAGCTGCATTCAAATATTTATTTCATTAAGTTTTTTAAAATAGATATATTTATTAGATTTAATTAAACTTTTTTTTTTCTAAAATCAAAATGGTTCATGTGGATTTTTTTATGTCAAAAAATAATAAAAGTAATACAAAACAATTGGTAAGGCATATTAATCTCTATAGCTATATCAGATCAATTACAGAAGCCTGTCATCTCTTTCTGTTTTTTTCTTTTTTTCTTACTAATTTTATTTGTATTTTTGCATAAACAGTCGCAGGATTTACAACCTCATATTTATAATTAAACATTTTATGGCCGTCACAGTGCCACAGTGGGTAGCATGACAGCATGAAGGTCGCTGGTTCGAGCTCCTGCTGGGTCAGTTGGCATTTCTGTGTGGAGTTTGCATGTTCTCCTCGTGTTCGTGTAAATTGGCTCCGGATCGTCCGGTTTCCCCACAGTCATGCAGTATAGGTGAATTGAATAAGCTAAATTGGCCGTAGTGTACAGTATGTGTGTGAAAGAGCGTGTATGGATGTTTCCCAGTGTTGGGTTGCAGCTGGAAGGGCATCCGCTGCATAAAACATATGCTGAATAAGTTGGCGGTTCAGTCCGCTGTGGTGACCCTAGATTAATAAAGCGAGTGAGCCAAAGGAAAATTAATGAATTTATCTAAAATAAAATAAAAAGTTTAATGTGGATTTTTTTTGTTAAAAATAAATAAAATTGGTAAGTTATATTCATTTCTATTGCTATATGTGATCAATTACAGAAACCTGTCATCTCTTTTTTTTCTTATTTATTTACTTCTTTTTTTTTTGCCTTTATTTTAATGTATTATTATTTAACTTTATTTTAATGTATTGTTCATATTAATAAACCATTAACTGAGACTATTAGCTCAATAAATTGCTAAGCTGCTTATTAATAGTTAGAAGTTAGGTTTAGGGGGTTAAGAATGTAGAATAAGATGTTTTATAAGTACTAATAAACGGCATGTAATAAGCCAGTAGTTAATAGTGTGAATTGTTACTTAAACTAAAGTGTCACTGAAAAATGACTTCAGTCATTGGTTAACATCATGTAATGGTGGTTAACATCATATAATGCAACTGAAATCAGTGAAACAAAACATGTAATGCATATGATTCAGATTAGTTACATGTCGAAAGAGTATGTGTAAAACAATGATACCCTGTCTATTTGCTGGTATGAAAAATTCCCTTTCATCGTAATTTTGAATTATTAAAAAGAGTGCAATAGCATTATGAAGGGGGCGGGAATTATCAAATAGAGCATTTGATTGGTCAGAAGATTTGATGAGAAACTGAAGTGTGAGATGATGTCAAAAAAATCATTGATTCACTTTGCCGGAAGTGACAAACATGCAGATTTGAATGAATGTTTATACACTAAAAAATCCATAAGTTAACAGTTCTACTTATTTTGTGATTCATGTTTTTTATTTATTTTATTTTTCCCTGTATATTTATGCTTTTGAATTGCATTTTGGCATCTTGATCTTTCTTGCTTTTAACCTTTAAAAGTTTGAAATTGTGGCTTTTGAACATTTTTATAGCGTAAATTGATATATTGTCTGTGTTGATGTATATTAACCTAATAATAAATTGCCAGTACATTTTCTGTTATTTTTTTTTTCTCTATGTATTATTTCTTCATTCATTCATTCATTTTCTCGTCGGCTTAGTCCCTTTGTTAATGCGGGGTCACCACAGTGGAATGAACCGCCAACTTATCCAGCACATTTTTACGCAGCGGATACCCTTCCAGCCACAACCCATCTCTAGGAAACATCCACACACACTCATACACTATACGAACAATTTAGCCTACCCAATTCACCTTTACCGCATGTCTTTGGACTGTGGGGGAAACAGGAGCACCCGGAGGAAACCCACGCGAATGCAGGGAGAACATGCAAACTCCACACAGAAACACCAACTGAGCCGAGGATTAAACCAGCAACCCAGCGACCTTCTTGCTGTGAGGCGACAGCACTACCTACTGCGCCACTGCTTCGCCTCCATATTATTTCTCATTTATTTATATTATTTCAAACTACTAAAATGTCAATAAAAGTCACTGTTAAACTGTAGAGTTGAATTTTCAATATCAAAATTTGACAGACTTGACATAATGGAATGAAGGTCCCATAATGCAATTCACAATCTTAAATAAATGGGAAACACTTCACAAATGACAAAATCAGAAACTGTTAAGCAGATATTTTTTATAGTCTATCTTCTAAATTTGGATTATGTCATTGTTTTGAAGTGGCACTAGATAATAGATTGCCTCTAGAATAACATTGATAGTAAACATCTACTTTAAATCTGATTTCATGGGGACTTTAATCTAATAATATCTATTTTTTTAAATAATAAAAGTCAAAGGTGATGAGCTATTTTGTTAAGCCTAATGAAATTGGTTAAATGTAGGACTCTACAGATCATGAATTTATGAATTTGGTGAACAAGGCAGATTTTTGTGGGAAAGTGGAGGACATTGTTTAGCTTTCTCACAGCAATAAACTACACAAGAAAAAAATATGAAAATAAATTAATTGTCACTATACCAGTGTGACATGGGGGCTCAGTGGTTAGCACTGTCGCCTCACAGTAAAAAGGTCGCTGGTTCGAGTCTCGGCTGGGCCAGTTTCGGTGTTTCTGTGTGTGTTTGTATGTTCTCTCTGTGTTGGAATGGGTTTTGCAGTTTCCCCCACAGTCTAAAGACCTGCGCTTTAGGTGAATTGGGTAAACTAAATTGACCATAGTTTGTGTGTACATGTGAGAGTGTAAGGGTGTTTTCTAGTACTGGGTTGCAGCTAAAAGGGCATCCAATGTGTAAAACATATGCTGGATAAGTTGGCGGTTCATTCTGCTGTGGTGACCCCTAATGAATAAAGGGACTAAGCCAAGAGAAAAGGAATGAATGAATATACCAGTGAACTGAAAAATATGTATTGACACTGAATATTATTATTAGTAATATTATTTATCTTAATTATAAAGTGCATGTGCTTCCTTTACAATATAAAAACAAAACAAAAATAAAAAACTATTGGAATATATAGGAGTGGTGTAAAAGGGTTTCTTCAGAGGTGGAATGATGAGTCATTTGGACAGCAGTATATGAAAAAGGCTTCTCAGGCAAATCCTCTCAAACAACAAAATATGATGTGAGATCTAGATGTCCAATACTGAATACAGTTGTCTTAAATTGCTTTCAGATCAATCTTTATTTATTTTTTTTTTTTTATGCAAGCTTGACAGTGTTTCAGTCCATACAACTGTGAACAAGTCAAATCTCCTTGCTGTCTTATGTTGGGTTGATGCCAATATCTTTAAGATTTAAATGCATATGAGTGCTGACAATTCATTTATAGTCAGTTTATCTAGAATGCTGAAAGTCCGCAGCCCTTTAAAACTCTGATTAGTATAATAGAAATGTTGTTAAGGATGTGCCTCATTCCTCTTGGTTGTTTAATTGGATCAGTTACTGACACATCTTGACACCTCTCACTTTTTGCTGAATCAGTCACAGCTAAATATCATCCCTGTGCTACAGCTTAAGAGAAGACATGTGACAGCTTAATATTGTACTGGCCACTAAATAATTGCCATTTTTATGCTGTTTTAAATTTCATTTATCTATTCATTTATCATCAGTTTAGCCCATACATTATATACTATTAAAGCATTTTTCTTAAAGTTAAATGTATTTATTATACTTTTTTATTATAGCATGTTTATCAATGATTTTGTTTTTATAATAATAATAATAATAAAAAATTTTGATACGGCCTTGCTAGACCATGCATAATAAGCTCTTACCGATATAATTAAATAGGTTTTTAATTATAATTAATGTATATTTGAATTAATAAATGAAAATAAGACTAAGTAATTATACATTAACATTTAAACAAAAATTGGACATTAATAATTAAACAAAAAAGTAGTAAATGATCACACAAAATAAAAACAAACAAATAAATACGAGATGAAAATATATGAAATGCCAAAAATATGATGTATTTAGTTAAATTATCCACAATTTGACTATAAAACAAACAAGCAAACATAAATAAGATCAAAATAAATAATGGCACTGTATTTTTATGTGTGCCATTATAAAAATAATAACAATGTTCTTGTAAAAATATATTTAGGCCCATTTCTAATATTACTTTTTTGTTGTATATTGGGTCTGTATACAAGAAACTGTATAGGTATCTTTTAGACTTTAGAATAAGAGTTTTCTTGCGTGGTATGCATCTGCAAGAACAAGATTACAAATCCTTGGTGTTGTAACCCTTGTGGTAAAATTTACTAAGCTTTTGTTATATCTGTGGCTGTTTTCGCCCCATTGACTTCCATTATATATATATTTTTTTTTAATAGCAAAGCAATGACAGACAGTATATAATCATGTAGGCTATTCTTGATTGTTGGTTGTTTTTCCCTGTTGGGAGGAGGTAAAATGCATACTGTTGATTATCAGTTGGCAGCATTAACCCTTCTGCAAAAAATGTTTCTGGCTTTTTTATCAAGTTCTATAGAGTAAAACAGCAGATTATAGCGTGTGTGCATAAATACATGTATGCTTACTATGTTCTGACAGCTGAGCTGCTTATTTGGATTTTCTCAGACATAAGTAAGATGTACACACACACACACACACACACACACACACACACACACACACACTACTCAATACTCTATAGAAGGCTGAAACCAAACTTTTTTTGCATTGCAACAAATGATCAACAGTAAAAAATAAAATGTCCCTTCTCCCAAAAGGGAAAAACAGCAACAACCAAGAATGCATGATAATATGGTGTCATGGTTTTGCAATAAATAACGTCATTATAACGGAAGTCAATGGGGCAAAATCAGCCCTTAACATAACGAAATGGTTTTAAATTTGCTCAGAGTGTATTGTTGATTTTTTTTTAAGTTTTCAAAGCAGTTTCTGAAAACGTGTCCAAATAAGATGTCACCAAGTATCATTTTAGTTGCTAAAACACAGAGATAGTTGTGGCCAAATTAAGACTCAAAATCACCCCAGGATGGATGAAAACATCCCCAACGAACACAGGGCTTAATCCGTTCCACGTGTTTGCGCAGACCGTCACTGTGCGCAGACGCTTCACGGTATCTTTCAGCCAACTTCGTTTTTTCAAGAGTGTTTTCACTTATAATACACATTTAAAAACGCTAGTTCGGGTAAACTGAGACAAAAAGGAGAACTATTGCAATTGACCTCGGTTGAATTTGGTATTCAGAAACGATCTACAAGAGCGAAAGAATATTGCTGCAGAAATATAAAAGTAGTTTTATATTTTATGATGGTTACCATGTGCATTGTGGGTAGCGTGGCCGAGCGGTCTAAGGCGCTGGATTAAGGCTCCAGTCTCTTCGGGGGCGTGGGTTCGAATCCCACCGCTGCCATCACTTTTAAATGTGCTGCAATTATAAGTTTAAAATGTTGCATTTTCATAGAATTTGAGCTACCCATCACCAAACAAATGTCTGACTGTCTGGACGGTATTAATGCGCCTATAATGTCACCTGCAGAATCAGGCTATGTGAAAGAAATGATAAAAAAAAATATGTGCTGGGTTGACAGATCCTGCCAATACGTGACAGAAATAGCATTATACTTGATACAAAAAGGTAAATGTATATACATTATATCGGTATGTTTTGTGTTACACAAAGCAGGTTTAATGAGAAATATATTTTCTTGTCGAAGTTTCGAGCGCTCTCTAGTGGTGTGTTTTATAAATTACAACAGCACACGTCCCGCATGCATTTTGTAATGTCACAGAAGATGTTACATATTTCATAACATAAACAGTTTTACGACATATTTTATTCATTGCATTTTAAGCAAGTCCAAATATCTACATATCACAGCATCTACTGTGTAGTACATAAAAGAGAACCAGTCATGCTATTGGAAAAAGCAAACGCGTTTCAGTCTCGTGTTTTTTGATCCCTTTGGTGACTCGTAGTCAACATACGACAGCGGATGAGCTGTTCTTACAACCACAAAGCGAGTAAGTGTTGTCAAAGTCCATGCATTAAATTCACAAGTAGTTTATTTGTTTACCTAAAATGTCTTAATATCGTGGTAAACCCGTAAAAACATACATTAAATAAACTGTCATTTTAGTCAACAGCATTCCTATAGAATAAAAAGTAAATATTTAGGGTTAGATGGTGTGTCTGTCGGTTCGAGTTCTGTAACGTTAGCTGTTTTTAGTTAACCTTACCTTTAAGAGAGCACAGCTATTACTTCAATGTAAGTGAAAGGATTGAATGTATATGTATTGGGGCATCACTGTTACACTACTGTCAGAAGTTTGGAAGCATTAAGATGTGTTAAAGGTTTTTAGAAAGCCACTTCTGCTCTTAAAGGAGACATTTGATTAATCAAAGTACAACCAAAACATTGTGTAGTAATATTGTGAAGTATTATTTCAGTTTAAAACAATGTGAATATGTCATTTGAAGTATTAAATTATTCCTGTGATTTAAATGTGAATTTTCAGCATTCAATACTGAGCAATCTCATGCAAACATCAAACTTGCCATTAAAAAAATTAGTTTTTCACCAAAATAGCTTGTAGTTTCTAAATTTTTTGTGTAGGCTTGTATTTTACTGTACTTTAAAAATACTCAAAAATCTATCTGTCAATGTGTTCAAACAACTTGATTTGATTTACCAGTCACACAAGTGGCAATTTCACATCTGTCACATCCATAACGGAGAGATGTGACATACATTCTAAATCTTTTTTTCATAAATGCAAAAAATGTCAAATAAAATAAAAAATATTATTTATGTTTTGTAGAGAGTGAAATCTTATCCTTTTGATTAGCGTTGTTTCTTTTGGGTTGTGAAGTTTAATTCACAGAATTTCTACAAAGTATGTTTTGTACTGTAAACTCGCTAACTTTTTTTGTCACATCTATTAAACCTGTTTAATTTCCTCATTTAAAATAGAAAAAATATTTTACAGATTGATATTTTTCTGCTCACATTACTCTGTGCTTTGTTGTTCAGGAAAATATAAACAGTTGTTTCAATATAATGTTAACATAATATACTTTCTCTGTGACTTTATCTTTTGACTTTTTACTGCAAAGTCACATCCGTTACGCTGGAATGGCTCTACCCTAGTTTTGAGTGGTACACGATCCATCAGAAATCTTTCTCATATGCTTTAAATCATTATTTTAAAATGCATTTCATGTAAAACACATAATTTCAATTCCATTTGTTTATGTCCACAGTAAGGAAACAAGTTTCCCTGTACAATGAAATTATTATTTCTTACTTTGCCGTCCACAGTGAAGTCATATACAAAATATACACATATATACACAGAAGTGATCTAAATACAGCTATGAAATGTGTGTGTGTGTGTGTGTGTGTGTGTGTGTGTGTATATATATATATATATATATATATATATATGAATGTAAACATGATATAATACTGATTGTGTAGTATGAAAACAGATGTAAACAATGTATAGTGGTTGTAAGTAATTAAGGAGCTGTAATAAATCATTATAAGAGATTTCTGAAGAATCACATGACATCAAAGGATGAAGTAAAATTGCTGAAAACTAAGGTTCAAGTTAGTCACAGTATTAAATACCATGAGTCACAGAGTCACAGGATAAATAACGTTTCAGTATTTTCATGTAGAAAAAAGTTAATATTTCGCAATATTCTTATTTTTATTGTATTTCTTTATCAAATAAATGCAGTCATGGTGGGCAGAAGAGAAAAATTATTTTTTAAAATCTTTAAATTTGCAAACGTTTGACTGTTAGTGAACATCCTTAAAAAAAATCTTCAATGACTACGTTTACATGGACACCAGTAATCAAATTAATTGCCTTAATCTGAATCAGACAATAATATGATTAAGGTGTTCACATGAGTTGCTTTTTGAATGTTTCTTTCATGATCCCGTTTTACATGTTAAATCATATAATTCGATTAACATCATTGCGTCGCTGCGCTATCCACATTTCCTTTAGAGTTTCATGTAATTATGGGTGTTTCATTTTTAATTTGTCGACTTTACCTGCAGTTTGGCACTTTCACTTTCATTCAGGAACATTTAGAGCATATTGGATGTGAGTATGAACTGCTGGAAGAGTGTAGTTTCAAGGGAATTTAATCCCGCCCACTAAATGGGAGAAAAAAACTCTGCATTTAATGATGGAGGTGTTTGTCGTCCTTCACTCACTCGGTAGGTGCAGAGAATACTGTCAAACAGCCGTGTGTATATAGACTATCCTGTTGCAAATCCTACACTACGGTAATAGTTTGTGGTGTTTACATGTCTGTGCTGAACTTCAATAATGCGACTAAAATCAGCATACTCCACATGCCTTAATTTGATTTCTATTTAGTTCGATTATGACCTTAATCTGAATAAATTAATCAAAAATCGTTGTTTACATGGTAGACTCTTAATCAGAGTATTGTCTTAATTCTATTAAAATCGGGTTGTTGGTGTCCATGTAAACGTCCATATTTGTAGTGATGGTCCAGTGTGATTAAAATTAAACTAGGTCATGTTCTTTTTTTATACAACAGGCAGTCTTGTGCTATATGGGATATGACTTGTGTATTTAGCAACTATGAAACCTCCACGTCGTCAGCGAACTGTACCATCACGCTTCCATAAAACCCCTGAGCAAGAACAGATAGATAGTGCCAGATCACTCTGCAAAGGATGGAATCGCAAAGACCTCCACAGCTTCTTGCAGGCTTTAAAACAGCAGCAGGATTTTGAATCTGAAATAGATCTGACTGAGATTCAAAAGAAGATTCCTCAGCGTTCTCTCAAACAGGTAAGCTCACAGGCATCACCGAAAATAGCACTAATGCCTGCAAATCTGCACTTAATATCTATTTTAATGCTCTTGTTTTGACTGTATGGTTCCAGATTGAAAACCTGATAAACAAAGTGAAGTTGCGTGTGCTACAGAAGGTGTTTAAACAGGTCAAGAGTCAGAGGAAAAAGGAACGCAAGGCTAAAGTTCCCATTGAAACCTGGGGAGAAATGGTACAGAAAATCTCTACATCTCATGGGAAGACTATTTCCGCTGCCTTTTCCCAGGTGTGTATGAGAAATTTCAATAAGGAAACAAACTAGTCAACACAACAAAATACTGTACAGATGCTTCTCAGGCCCCGTTTACATTAATACATTTTAGTTTTAAAACTGCATTTTAGAAAGAAAACGATCCACGTCCACACTGGTGTTTTGTCTAGCATTTCTGAACGATCTCTATCCACACTGAACTGCTAAAAACACACATCACGTGATCACACACACTCTCTGGCATGCGCTGCAGCATATGTGGATGTCTGATTGCTTTAAGCACACCTCCCTAGGCAAGAGCAGTGCACATTAGACTGTTCATCAAAATTCTACTGCTGGATCTCATCTCACTATAGTTGTTAAATGTGATATTTCATTCATCTTGTCTCCTTCTAATGACTCTTTGGACTCTTTGGTAACGTGTTTTGGCTGAGCGCAAAAAGTTAATATATTAATTTATATAAACACATACAGTGATTTTGCACATTTCACTGATTGCTTGCCTTTATTTCCTATATTATATAAACTTATTGTATTATTGATTGCTATTATTGATTATTAAAACTGATATTCAGCGAAAGTTTTATATTTTTTTTTAATGAAAATGAATAGAGGCAGTGATGTTATAGGCTTCATTTTGTTATAAAAATGCATACAGTGAAGATGACGCTCATATAAATATGTAGCTTCACGATGCCTCAACATTTTTAGTGTCTATTAAGATGCTAATATCAAAATAAAAATTGGCAGTTTCTTATATCATGTTTTCATTTTATTGTTGAGACAACAACGTAGCCAGGGTGATGTTAATGACGTTCTAAAGTACACCTCCGTTTTTTAGATGTCTCCGTTTCCCCCCATCCACACTAACACAGAGCAGCAGCTTTTTCGGGGCTTGAAAACTCTAAGATAGTGTAGACAGAAGGCGTAACCGTAGCAAAATTTATGCATTTCAAAACTAAAATGTATTAGTGTAAACGGGACCTTAGTAATTTAAAAACATTAGGCTACATCTATGCATATAACCTGGATACATTTTAAAGTTTTTAAGCATTTTTAGTTTAAAACGTCATTTTCGATTGTTTTCAGAAGTTGGTCATCCACACTGAAACCACTGAATGAGCTTTTGCCCCATACTGTGGATTTGTTAAATGGATAGTTCATCTAAAAATGAAAATTTGCCCATTATTTAGTCACCCTTGACTTATCCCAAACCAGTTTGTGTTTTTTATTCTGCTAAAAACAAAAAAAGATATTTTGAAGAATGTTGGAAACTTGTAATCCTTGACATCTATAGTAGGAAAAACAAATACTATGGAGGTCAATGGTTACAGGTTCACAACATTCTTTAAAATACCTTCTTTTGTGTTTAACAGAGCAAAAAAAAAGACAACTCTAAATTAGTCGGCGAAGCTGATGGCTATGTTAAAGAACCTCTCTTAATCAGTTGATTCTAAATCCACTACAACAGAGTTATCCAAACTAGATCCTGCTGGGCCGGTGTCCTGCAGATTTTAACACAACCACAATTTATATCATTATAAAGATAATCGTGTTCATATAAACACTGTAAATGAGGACTTCTCCCTCAATCCCCGGGTCTGAATCCAGACTCAGTCCAGCAGGTCTATTGCCCTGTCTATTTCAACCATTAGCCCTGCTTGTAATCTGGAATACTGCGTGCCGTGGGTTCATGGACGCGGTCTCTCCCAGTCATCAACATAGGCTCTCACAGCTTGGCACTGGCATGTCTGTGTGTGTCTTGCCTTCGGAAAGCATGCGCAGTCATGAAAAATTAAGAAGCAGGCTCTTCTCATAGGATAAGAAAAGTCCGCTATGAATAATAATGAGAACTCGACGCATCATCACTTCACTTGCAGTTTTGCGATTCGTCACAGATTTTGATCCCGCCCCAAAAATCATTTTAAACCTGGAAATTGAAATTAGCTTACAAAAGCTTAAAATGATCCAATTTTCCTCACAATTAAAGCTGGCAGGTGCTAATATTGTCTTAAATGATGCTCAACACACACAAATCAGTTAAAATCTTTAACACACCTGCAAGGATGTTTCTAGAAAGCCTAGTAAGAGCCTGATTAGCTAGCCCAGGTGTGTCTTATCAGGGTTGGAACTAAACTTTGCAGGACACTGGCCCTCCATGACCAGGTTTGGAATCCCCTGGCCTACAAGATACATTTAAGAAACTAAAGACAAACTAAAAGTTAACATGGAAGAGGAGAGGCACTAATGGGGTAAAAATAAAGTAGGCTCGAAATGTGAAAATGTAGAAACAACCGATAATACTGACGGCGGTGAGGAGAGCCGCGGTGTGGAAAGGCTAATGTGGATTCGGATTGGAAGAAGTTGGTGATGGTATTAATGCAATATTTGATAATCAAGTTGTGTTATCTATTATGCATTATCTCACTGTCAGGAAGAAACCTTGTATATCTGAAGAGACCTGTTTCAAAAACGCTAACTAACCTAATTGTATCCGAACGTTTGGCTGGTATTGTATACATGTTTATCTATTTAACAATCACTATATATATATATATATATATATATATATATATATATATATATATATATATATATATATATATATACATACATACATACAGTGATGGTTAAATAGATAAACATCACTATATATATATATATATATATATATATTATATATATATATATATTCCACCCAATCTCAGTCAGCTGTGTATGTATGTATACTGTTAATGTTTGATAAAATGTTGAAATGTTGAAAGTTTTTGATTAACGGTGACGTTACGTTACACTCATGCTCTATTCCTGCCTCAGAATTGGGCAAGTTCAGCAGCTGATTCTGTCATTGTCTATTTATAGTGTTATATTTTTATTGCCTTGATTATCTTAATGGATCCTATAGCTGATTAAGTGTTATGCAACTTCTGTTTATTTTTTACTGTCATCAGATGCTTGTGGTTGCTGCCACCGAGCCCTGTAGCCTGATGCACTCTGAACCTCCACACCCCGTTACACAAACACCTGTTTTCTCCCGTCTTTACCCTGCTCACACCCCTAACACCACTTCACGGCCTACCACCTCTGGCGTGAGCCCAAGCTCCAGTGTTTCCACTGCCTCAGCCGTATCATTCATTCGGCCTGACTCTAGTTCAAGCGCTGCTGGCCACATTGGCAAATCTGATACGGTATCGAGCAGTTTACATCAAGAGCCAGTCATGCCTGAAGCATCCACACCCACATCAAGTTCCAGCCAGTCGCAATCAGAAGCAGAAGCAGCAGTGTCCAGTCCTGTGTCCAGCAGACCATCTCCATCAACTTCCTCAAATAAGCCCAGTCCAATTTCGTTGGAACTGCTAGGTCACGATTACCCATGCAAACCAAGAATAATGAAGAGCGTTGTGAACTTTGACAAGATTTATGCATATTTAAGTGACATGGACTCGAAAACCTGCAGTTCAGCTCTTTCTTCAATGGGTATGTATTGTTGATACTCTCTGCATCCAACATTAGTTCTGAAAACTACACTCCCCATCATGACTATACATTGTAACAGGAAGGACATCTGTGTCCAGTCCTGGTTCTTAAAAAAATAATTCACCCAAAAATAATACTATTTCTGATTATTAACCGCAAACAACAAACAATTTCCGCGCAAACAACTAACCTGGATGTACTTTATACCACTTATTACACCAATATTTGCCACAAAACATAAAAATTAGACACAAAACATTGTTCTGAGCCAAAATAGTTTAATTCATTTACTTTTTGGCTTTGCCCTATTAATCTGGGGTCGCCTCAGTGGATTGAACCGCCAACTTATCCAGCATATGTTTTAAGCAGTGGATGCCCTTTCATTTGCATCCCATTACAGGGAAACACCCATACACTTTAATTCACACACATACACTACTGGCAATTTAGCGCATGTCTTTGGACTTGTGGGTGAAACCGGAGCATCCGGAGGAAACCCCCGCGAACATGAAAAGAACATGCAAACTCACAAAAAATGCCAACTGACCCAGCTGAGGCTCGAACCAACGACCTTTTAGCTGCAACGCGCCTCCCAGTTAAATTATTTTTTTTTTAATAAAAGCAAAGATAACAGAAACTAAAAGAGCTGAATGGAGCATTCACTAACCTGAGCATTAATCAGACAAAAGATGGTGCCAAACTGTCAAAAACACAAAACAGAAATGCAACCAACTAAATGCATCATATACTTACTTGCGTATTATTCATTCACAAGACAGCACCAAACAGTCAAAAACCAAGGCGTGACTGACAAGCAGATACAGGAAATGCTAATGTAGATGCAAGTATATAGATGTGAATGTATTCACACCAATGGTCAAGGTGATTTGTAGTGTTATTTAGCGGTTATTATCTCGGAATATCATACCTTGTAAATGTTGCAACTGGCCGATCAGAATTGAGCATTCAAGACTGTGTAATAATATAAAATAGGTTGTTTTCAATCACGTTGTTCTGGTGAGGTGCGAATTTCAGATGGAGGGCAGGCAGCGAATTTTAATTAATTTTCAAAGGGCTTCTGTGCTAATTAAAAAGAAATGGCAAGCTTTCCTAAATTATGCGCAATTTACTTAATTTTGCTTTAAATTAAGTGATTGCAGAATTACTACATGCAGGGACACATCTTTTCTATTTATTATAGCTTATGGAAATGCAGTTTTTTTGTTTGTCAATGAAAGTCTGGGAAAACTCTTTGACAATTGGTTTACAGTGGGAACCCTGTCTGCAGGACTTTTCCTCACTGTGACACCAAACTAAAATTACACAGTTTACAAAACATGACAAAGCAGTCATCATTTACACTCAGCCTTTTCATTCCAAACCCAGAGTTGTTTTTTGTCACAAAAAAAAGCTTCAATGAGGATGATTGGTGTTTTAGCCTTAATTCCATACATCGTATCTGCAAAAACTGCTTTTATTTATAGAAGTCAGTCCTGCATGTGGATAAATAATGACCGTAAATGAACTGCTCATTTTGATATACCTGTTTAATTCTGTCTTCAGAGTGTGCAGTGCTGCTGGATCTGCTGATGTGTTTGCCTGAGGAGCTCCCGTTACTGGACTGCAAGGGGCTTCAACATCATCTCCTCCAGTTACACTCGCAGCTCTCCAAGCCCACAGTGAAGCCAGAATCCTATTCAAATGGCCCACTTTCTGGTGAAGCTAACAGCTCTACATCAGCACAGAAGCCTAGCGCTGCTGCCGGATCCAGTGAAAAGCATGGACCAGTGAAGGACAGTGAAGACTGGGCCTCGGCTGGCATCTGTCCTCTCAATCCTCTGTCAGTTCCAGTAACTTTGCTGAAAAGAAAATCTGTGGATTGTGATAAATGACATGGTTTTCCAGGAACAGTTGAATTGGGATTGGGTTGAGCCTGGTTTGTCAGGTATTGTTTTACTAGAGTTTAGTGAATTCTTCCAGATGAGGATTCTGTTTCAAAAAAGTTTGTTATAAAACCAAGATGAGAAAGTGAATGTGAACGTTGAACCATGATTCTTCAAATTGTGGTGAATCTTATTTTGTATATAATTGATGTATATTTGTGAGTTTCAGTCTGTAATCTATTTTGAATGCAATGCTAAAAAAGGTCAGTTAAACAAAGGTGTATCTTTTATTTGTCAGTTTAGCCAAACAGTGTTCATGTCATACCCCATCATTCATTTTTTATATCTTTTGATTAAATTTTTCCCAAATTTTCCAAAACTGCAGCTCTGTTGATTCCTAAATGGTGGAACTTAGAAATAATCATTCATAGTTTATTATTTTCATTCTGCTTCTACTGCAGTTAACAAGTCAATGGAATGTTCATGTAAAACAAACATATAAATAAAAAAAATATATATATTTTGTCATTTTATACTCTGTTCTGTCTGATTTTTGTGAGTAAAATATTCACTCCTGGTTTTGTAGACATGGCTTAGGCCCACTCTGTAAATTAACATGGTTACAAGTTGAAATGTAATTGTATAAAACAATGTTATGATTAAGAAAATAAATGTCATGACATTGTTCATATATATATATATATATAGCATAGTCACAGATTAAAATTAATTACCATCTCTAGATTTTTTTTTTAACACAATACTTTTTTTGAAAGGAATGTTATAAAAATTATTTATTTATTTCGAAGAGAAAAATCGTACAATTCTTTAAACAAAATACATTTCAACATGGTCGAAATGGAGCGGGATAAAGCGCAAGCTTATTTTTTTCACCCTATTATTTGTTTACACATCATTTGTTTACATCAACTTATTTCTTTTACTGATCTCTTCTTTTTACATGAGACAAATGAGCTTGACATGAAACATTTTATCCTTGTGGGATCTTTGACATATACGTTTGATTCCATTTGTACATTTACATTGTATAATGTAGACGCAGGGTGTCATGGTGGCAGTTTGTAGCATGATCACCTCACAGCAAGGTTGCTGGTTCTAATGTCGCTAGTTAACACGCTCAATGCATTTTTTTTGTGCAACACATCATATAATTTCTAAAATATCAGCCTTTACTTAATGGTTGATATGCTGGTTCATGGTAAAAATACTGGAATTAATACATATACTATGAAAAATCTGAAAATATGAAGTGTAAGACCAATTTATTTAAAAAATCGAAATATAACATTTTTGGATACTGAATCGTTTATTCTTCTCAAGTCATCTGTATTAATCTTTATATATATATATATATATATATATATATATATATATATATATATATATATATATATATATATATATAAAGTAATATCCTGAGATTCATTCATTTTCTTATCGGATTAATCCCTTTATTAATCCGGGGTCACCACAGCAGAATGAACTGCTAACTTACCCTGCAAGTATTTACGCAACTTATGCCCTTCCAGCCAAAACCCATCTCTGGGAAACATCCACACACATGCAAACTTCACACAGAAACACCAACTGAGTTGAGGTTCGAACCAGCGACCCAGCGACCTTCTTGCTGTGAGGCGACAGCAGTACCTACTGCACCACTGCCTCGGCCCTAATATCCTGACATTGTTTCATAATTTCACATACAGAAATATTTTAAAGTTGTCCTTGCCTTTCATAGTTATCCCCCTTGCCTTTCTTTTGAAATCATTTCAGAAGTAATTTAGCTTTAAACATAAATTGTTCTGTTTTAAAATTTAACCAAATCATTGAACTTAAGTATCATCAATTTAAAAAAAAAAAGATTTGTATGCGCCAAATACTCCACATTTTCTATCATTCTAATGACTTTCTTCTGTATTGTACATAAGGGTAAGTTATATTCATACGTATTCCCCCAAATATTGCTACAGTTTTTACCCATTTTAATTTCACAATATTTATTTGCAGTTTCTAAATAATTTTAGGATCCAATACAACACCATGAAACTTAATTGCGTTTACTCTTTCTATAACATCATTAATCAACAGTGGTGGAAAGAGAACTGGAAAATCATACTCGAGTAAATGTACCATTACTTGTCCAAAAATGTAGAGTAAAAGCATCTGTTGTAAATGTTATTTAAAATATGAGTTAAACGCAGCCCTTTCAAAAGTACTTATGAGTAGTGAGTATTAGGCTCTGAAAGGCTGCTGCATTTACATGAGGTTTGTGCAGGGATGTGGAAACGTAACATTCTGTAGTGCGTTTAGTGATCTTCCTATTCGTTTGTTGCTTTCAACCTTTCTGCCATTGTTTGTTTGTTCCTTTCTTCATTTGTTCCTTCCTTCGTTTCTCCATTCATTCACTCATTCGTTTATATTTTTGTTCCTTCTTTCATCAGGTCCTTTGTTCATTTATTCGTCCCTTCCTTCCTTAGTTTGTTCAGTCCTTCCTTGAATCCTTCCTTCATTCGGCCTTTGCTTCTATTCTTCACTTATTCCAGTTAGTGATTGTTTAAAGCTGTTTAGTCATTTCAGTCATCATACAGTTGACAGCATTTTGCGTGTAAAGGCTTTGGACATCTTCTTGTACATTTTTAATGTTTCCAAAAGGTTAGTAGCATTTATAAAGTGCCCATGTCTTAAGGTTGCTCAGTATGACGCAATTTTTAATGTGCGATTTGATAGAACTGCAGGTCGGATTTTTCTACTTTAACTAATCACCATAAACAAAGAAATAAAGTAGTGAATGCAGGTTAAAGAGAAATAGTAAAGTAAAAGTTCCGATACAGCACTACTAAGTAAATTACAACTTCTCAGAAAACTATCCACTTACAGTAGTTTGAGGATTTGTAATTTGTTACTTTACACCAATTATCAATTTTTAAATCTATAATATGGCTACTTTTTAATTTTACAAATAACATGACCTTTGTTTTACTTATATTTAATGACCATTTGTTTACTTCAAACCACAATTTCAATTTATTAATTTCTGTTTTAATCAGCTCCATAAGTTGTGGTAAATTATCCCCAGAACAAAAAAAAAAAAAAAACTTAAAACTGATCCTTGTGGTATGACACAATTTATATTTAGATGGGTATTAAGATTTATGGTTGTCAATTTAAACGAACTGTTGCCTATTTTTTTTAAATAACTGCTTAAACAATCCAAGGCTACTCCTTGAATACCATACAGTACCTTTCTAATTTATTTACTAATATATTATGATTTATTAAATAAAATATCTTCTTTAAATCTAATAATAACTACCTTCACCTTTTTATCTATCTTATTAGAATTAATGCCAGAGATGTAGATCTATTTTTCCTGAAACCGTATTGCTCATCAGCTAAAAGTATGGAGGTTGGATGCTCCCATTGATCGGCCGGAGATCCCTATTGGTCGATAATCACATTTTAAGACTCGATCAGTACTCGTCAATCTGGCCGTTCTCATGAACCAAATACTACGTGTTCGTTTACGGGTTTACAAGCAGAGGAAGATCCATTTTAACTTCTTACGCATCAAATATGCACTCTAAACTTTTTCTTGACTGAGACATGTTGAATTCTTCTTTCGTAATTTGCAATGTTTCTAAATTGCTTTGTTAATCATTTTTCTTACCAATTTTTTTTATCTGTCTTATCTATTATTTTCTGTAAAGCTGCTTCTGACCATTATGTGCTCTCACTAAATAGTTATGAGACGTGTTTAAGAGATTATATCCAACATCCTTCATTTATTCTCCTTAGGAAAGGCGAAAGCTCCCCTTAAGTATCATACTTAGAGGGGAAAAAGTGCTTTATGCAATGTTAAAGTTAAATGAAGCTTAAAGCATCAGAATTGGTACTCTGATCGGCTGATCACCACGACGAGAAATCAGCACTCGATATCAGCTCCAAAAATCCTGATCGGAGCATTATACCAAGTGAACAACCATATTGCTCAGCATAAAAGTTCACTTAAATGTCCTATGTACACTATTTGGCCTAATCCTAAGCTTGTCTGTGAAACCAGGCTTTAACTGTTTGGTTGATTGTATCTACACATTGTAGCCTGTACTATTTTTCATAAGAGTACTAAGCCTGCATGTAAAGAGAAACAATGAAATTACTTTAAAAAAAAATGTCTTTTGTTTTTCCTTTGCATTTTCTGTAGTGAAGGAAAGCCATTTTCTGTCATAAGACTATGCATTTTTATTAAATACCCAAAACAAAGTGTTTTCCTCTTCAAAATGTGACAGATTGTTTATACTTTAATACTTTACTTCAACTTGTAGGGTCATTCAAAAAGGAAATATTGTACAAAGTCACATGTTGACAACATTTCTGGCAGCTACTAAACAGTGAACTACGATTTCACAACCGAAGATTTGCAAAAAAAAAAAAAAGACTATAAAGTAACTTAAAAGTAAGCAAAGCCTCGTGACAATCATCATATGTATGTGTGTGTATCATATGACATGCAAACAAATAATCCAGTGCAGAGACATCAAGCCTGGGTATTTGGACAGACTCTGCGCCACAAAGATTTTATGGCAGAAAAAGATTGCCTGCCCCCCAAAAAAAACTCCTGCAGCTCTGCACAATTATGCTCCAACCGTAATCAAACACAGCTCATACAACTAATCAAGGTGTTCAAGACTACAAGAGACTATTAAGCAGGTGTGAGTTGGAGGCGATTGGAGCTAAACTTCAGCCCTTCAGGAATTGAGATTGAGACCACTGATTCAGAGCAAGTATAGCATTGCACAAGTGATTAGCGTTCACTCATTGCAACAGAGGCGTAATTACATCGATTTAAGGGATGCTACCATTTGAAACTATTCATAGTAATGACTTAAGAGCTTATTATCAGTTTCCTTTTCTTGATTATCTGTTAAAAGTGTTGCTCCCCACCCGTCTTGACGCATGTAATGCAACATCCCTCATAGTGTTTGACTGCTTGCGGATAAGATATCTGAGATAAAGAGACTCACCTTGTGGCTGTAAAAATCACAAGGCTGTAAAATCACAACTTATTCACAAGTCTGAACATTTCATCATAAACTATTTTTTGGCAAAGTAACAAAATACTGTACATTTCTTTTTTTTACATGTACAACCTAAATATATACTGTATACAAATAAAGGGAGCACTGAAACAACACAATGTAACTCCTAGTGTTCCCATTATTTTTTGAGCACTATATTTTGTAATCATTACTATATAATACTAATATTTGTATCCATTTCTCAGTGAATATAGGCTATGTATTTTGGTGCATTCAAACAAAACAGATTTATTTATTAAAATAATATTTTAGTCGCCAAAGATATTTAGAAATTGAAAGATAATACAATTCAATTCAAGCAAAATATTGAAAAAATAATTTACTAAATGTTTCAATTTTTGCAAAAAAAAATTTATCTTTTTTTAAATTTGTATTTAATATTTTTCTAGTTTTCTAGTATTCTAGTTTAGGATCGTCATTGTAAGTCATTTTGTTAGATAAGCTCCAGATTTGGCTTCAGTACTGACTAATCTAATGTATATGCACAAATATAATAATGTATAGCTTCCTATTAAAAATATGAATTTAAACGAGAGATTTGTGAGGGGTCTACTTAAATATGCTAAGCATTGTATGTACAAAGGTAACATAAAACAAAGTATTAAAAAGCCCAGATCAAGAGAAATGACTGAGAAAAAAGCTCAATATCTCAAGAATATAATTAAATCACAGTCACAAAGAAAAACTACAACTAAAATGAAGAGTTATTGAGAATATAGGTAATTTATTTTAACAAGCAAGTGTCAATTTACAAAAAAAAAGTGCAATAAATGTATAATAACAATAAATAATTTGTGGTTAATGTGCAATTTTCTTCTCTTGTTTAGTTAACAGGCACATTGTACAGTAATAAAAAAATTATGTAAATGTACCAGGATATTTTTCCATCTATAGTGCCTAAACAAAATGTTAAAAGTAGCCCTAAAGAAAATGTCATTAAAGTACATGGTAAAACAACTTTAGATTTACACATCACAATCCATAAAAAAATAAATAAAAATACACAAGTGCACAACAGACATACTCCCCAAGCTATCAAATATAGGAATAAAATGTTGATTGAGTAGTAATTAACCATATTATTATTTTAACCTGAAATACTTCAAATGTTTTTATATATCTTACAGTCGCTAGTATAATATTTCATTGGTGTGCAGCTTTTGATGGAAAATGAGGACTGATTAAGCTTACTTTCCCTAATACAGTCTCTTCTCAATGCACCTCTTGTAAAATGATAAACAGTTTATCTAATACTGACTGATTAATACATACATCAAGCAGGCATTTGCATACCTAATCACATCACAATTACCAAACCGATTCATATTAATGTTGTATCATTATTCACAACAATAATAAAACATGAGGATATCTGACAGAGATCTGAATGTTTAGAGAAGATAAGCAGAGGTTTCCTCCATCTCTTCATCATGTGATCAAACGCATCATGTTCAGACAGTGTTCGTCACACATCTGAGAAACAGAAAATATGTACAATTCTACTGCTACCGACTTTAATGATATATAAATAGGACTCACAGAGTTTTGATCCATCAAGACTGTGAATTTTAAAAGCAACAGATGAATTGAGTATACCACACATAGCCCCACTGAAAACAAATGAGGTCAGCAAAACTGTTGCAAACATTGTATATGGGTTGAATGTAAACAAACAAATGAAACTGAGTAATGTTCAACTTCATTTGTTTGTTTAAATCCAGCCCAAATAAATAGTTTACAACCACTTAAAAAATGTGTAAATCCAAGGTATCTGCTTTAAATCATTTATTTTTCAGTGTGTTTGTGTTGTTATGGACTCAAGCTTCACACTTAGGTATCAAAAGAATTCCGCATCTGAGGTCTGTTCATTTTCATCTGTTAAGAGCAATAAAACAAAGAATGAGGAATTATCAAAAGCAACAGCAAAATTCTGATAATTATGATGTAATAATGCTTGTATCGCAAGGTATTTTCAAGTAAAAATTATCCTATAAACAAAATGCAACCTTTATCAATCAGAAAATAGCTAAAGGGAACGTATCGTTGGACTTTTTGATGTTTTAAGTGGACATATGTTGATTTATTAGTTTACATGAATCACATCATTTCCAGTACTCACAGATGGATCTCTCTGAAAGTTCCGCAGATGAATGTCGGGTTCAGGCGAGTAGTTTGTCGTGTAGGATGGAGCCGCAAAAATGTCTGGTTTATATTTAACTAAACTGTTAGGTGTGTCTCTTGGTGAGTAGACTGGATTATCATATCGGTCAACTGGAAATATAAACAAAAATGTAAATTCATTAATCTGAGACTTGTTGATGAGGAAAATGGACATTCTATAAGGGAAAAATGCCTACAAATCAAACAAAATGCAAACGCAAACATTGTTACGGCACAATGAAATCTGTTTTACTGCAAATTCCAGTTTATTGTGTTCCGAAATTTATTTTTATGTTTTTCCTGCGCTCAATTTTAATGGTTAGATGAAATGCAAGTAATCAAAAGCTTGTCTAATAATCATAACACAAATATTTATTACATTTTACAGCTTACAACTTCAAGAAATCTATGGAAGTTTTGCTCTTCCTCAAATCTCTATATATGTTGCTATTTAATGTTTTGCAAGTAGATAAACAAGCATCTGAAATATTCCAAACTAAACTGAAAAAAATAATATTGTTTACCTGTTAATTAATATGTTTGAGCCCACCAATTTACTGACGTAACAACTGTTATGAGTACTGTTAAATATCCACAAAGGAAATCATTTGTTTGGCGCTTCAGATATTTACCTACAAGTAAGAACTGTTGTGTTGGGTAATGGATTTTTATTGGTACCTGGGAATGGTGCTTTTTTGGTTGGCCACTCAAAGTCATCTTCTAACCATTCTTTCACTAGCTCCTGCTTCATGTCCTTATTCCTGTCAGACAAATAAACACAGTTACAGACAGAAAACAAATTCTTTTTTATAAGAAGTCAACATCGTGTTTTTCCAACACACATAAAAAAGGCAGTAATTTCAGGAAGTAAGACTGGAATTTCTGACACATATCTGGAAGTTCAGAATCAGTTGTTTCAGCTATAGAAATAAAGATGAATTGAATTGATGTCTTTGTGACATGAGATGACCTTAAAACAGCAACACACATCAGAAAAGAATGTTATAAAGATGCGACTACTTACCTCTTCACAGTCTTTTTGTTTATTACAAGATAAGCTGTTAGGATTGCGACAGTTATCACTGCTAAGGCTGCCACTGTTCCCAGTCCAGCATAGAATCCAATTTTGTTCACCTGGAATCTGCAATCCTCTCCCAGGTACCAGTTAGCATCATTATAGGGGCAGCTAAAACAAAGATGCATTAATTTCAATATGCGTTCAGAGAAATATGTGCACATATTTGCTACTGTTTGTTTTATTTAGATCATAGCAGATCTTTAAATTGGTCTTGCTCCAATTATTAGTTTTGATCACCATCTAAAACAGGAACTTTTTTGGTACGAAGAGCCAAAAGCCAAATATTATCAAGAGCTGTGGGCCGAAGATAAAAATAACAAACTATTTTGCATTAAAGTTGCCAAGGGTAATGTTCTAATTCATTTCCTAATATTTAAAACTAAATAGAAAACATTACTTTGAATCACATTAACTACTGCAGTATAACTTTTCTAATTATAACTTGTTGCAATTAAAGATTATGACACAGTGGAGTTCAATGCTGAATACACTGGTCCAGCCAAATCTGCCATTGCCTTGATTCTCTCATCAAAGTCTCTGCACTGTCCTCTATCCATCAGGTGACATGTACATTTCAAAATAAATTGCAGCATTTAAATTGAAATATATAATTTCAGTTAGCCGTTTTGTAGCTTACAAATAAAAGGTTACATCAAATTTGAAATGACAATATTTAAACCATCCCCATCATTCTCCCTCTCTTCTCAGTTGTGATGATGTGCCAAATCAAAGGTTATAATGGGCCAACTTTGGGCATCTTTGTTCTAAAACAACATTTATTTTGAAGATTTCAGGTCATGAGTGTGAGTGGGTTGATGCATTAACTGCCACAATCCATAAAGAGTGAGAATATTAAAAAGTTATATAGTTAAACAAAAGTACATACTAGCAAGTTGCACCATCCCTAGTTACTTCACAAGTGCCTTCAGAGCCACACTCTTTTGTTGTAGGATGATCTGCATTGCATTCAGTCACACAAGCCACTTTGCCATTGATCTCCATTGGAGTAAAATGTCTTTGTATTTCTTTGGAAAAATTTTGTAATGCTTTATCGCACACCTCTTTGACTATGGAAATAAAAAAGAGCAACAGTCATGTTAAATAAATAAAACAAACAAATGACAAGATTCAGAAACAAAATATTTTTTGAATTTAATACACTATTTTTGTAAACAATACATGTAATACAAAATTTTTGAAACTGCCCCTGTGAGGTTGTCTTGCAGAATTTTCAGGACTCATTATTTCCTGTCTTTTGACACAACGAATGACCTATCAATAAATATTAAAGGCAGCCCCCTTTTATTATTAGAGCAACTCATTACTTACTATTAAAATCAGTCTTTGATGTCTGGACCTCTGCAATAGGAAAACTATCATCTAGAAAAGATAAATGTTAAAAAAACAGAAATAAATTAACAATGCATCCAATAATCATATACTGTAGTAGATAATAAAAAAATGACATATGACTTACCTGAGCTGTTTTTTAATGTTTCAAGAGCCGTTTGCAGTTCACTGACCACTTCATCATAAGCACTGTTTATATTGTCATTTTGAATGTGAAGAATGACATCATGCTTAATGTTCACACTAGCCACAGAATAAAAAATACAAAAACATCAATTTAAATTTATATATACAGCATAAAAAATACATCTTAAAAAAACTCGATTTTCAAATTGGTGATTTAAAGGTGTAACAATTTTTGTAAAGATTTCTGTTTAGTTATTCATGTTTATTGCATTTTGTACTGTTACCTTTTTTCTTCCTCCAAAGGCACGCTTCTTCTTCGCCTTGTTGTAAATGGATTACCAGGGCTTTGAAAAAAATAAATTATCATTCTATTGACATAATTATGATTACAAAATGGCTTGTTACTGTAGATTAAGTAGATGTATTACCTTAGAATGATATTGTCCACACGCTGAAAGTTTTCGATTTTTTTATACTTGGGTAGAACCTGTATTTGAATGAAAATATGTCAGCAAAAGCTTCAAGCCCCAAAATTAGGACCTCCACTGTTTGTCAAAGTGAGCACTGAAGCCACTATTAGGAATATTGCATATTTAACAACTGCTTTTTCATTTAAAAAAAGCAAGGTGAAATTGTAGTAAATATGATCACATCCCTTCCTCAATATGCGGACAATAATATTTCAGTAATTAAAGAGATAGTTCACTCAAAATCTTTACATAAATAAGACTCTGGAAAAAAGGAAACTTACTGTTTTGTTGAATTTTTCCACAATTTCACGATATTCAGTTGATGATGTGTTTTTATGTTCATCTTTAAATGGAAGATTAACTTCCATTTCAGCATTCACTGGCCTTTCAATGTCATCTACAACAATGAAAGTAAAAGACAAAAAAGAAGAATATCACTTTAAATATATATATATATATATATATATATATATATATATATATAAAAAAAAAATATATATATATATATATATATATATATATATATATATATATATATATATATAATGTTTAATAAAAGTAATGTAACAACTAATTAAAAATAGAAAGAACATCCTTCCTGAAAAATTACAAACAAGAATAGTGTATTGTGACTTTTTTTTTAAAATTACATTTACAAAAGGTATGGCAATAAATAACAGCTTCAAGAGCTGTGAATTAGTTTTACTGCATCACATCTGAATTAGGATAAATTGTAAAAACTACAGGAACATTAATTACAAATAAATGTTTCAGATAGACACAGCTAAAGATAATATTGTACTAATGTATACTGTAATAATAATTTATGACACTGTTATAATAAAATGATCTATAAATATTTGAAAGGGCTTCTAACAAACCTGGGACAACTTCAACTTCCACATGACTGCAGGTCTTCCCCGTAAAAAAAGGTGAACACAAACAAGCCTTGTTGTCTGGCTGTGGAGTTCCTCCATTTTCACAGTGAATAGGTTTGATGGTTGTAGTTTTGATGGTTGACTGAGTTGATCTTGTTGTTGTTGTTGCATGTATGGTAGTCACTGTGTCTTTTTCAGTTGTGACATCGGTTGTGCCAGGACTTTGTGTAGTAAAATCAGAAATCGCTGTTGTAGTCTCTTTTGTTGTTGCAGACGTTTCTGTTGTACCGGTAGGTTCACTGGCTGTTGTGCCATCAGTAGATGTAGAACTTTCTGTTGTTATCTCTTCTGTAGTTACAGGCACTTCTGTTTTACCTGTAGAATCACTGGCCGTTGTGCCATCAGGAGATGTAGAACTTTCTGTTGTAGTCTCTTCTGTAGTTACAGGCGTTTCTGTTGCACCTGTAGAATCACTGGGTGTTGTGCCATCAGGAGATGTAGAACTTTCTGTTGTAGCCTCTTCTGTAGTTACAGGCGTTTCTGTTGTACCTGTAGAATCACCGGCCGTTGTGCCATCAGTAGATACAGAACTTTCTGTTGTAGCCTCTTCTGTAGTTACAGGCATTTCTGTTGTACCTGTTGAATCACCGGCCGTTGTGTCATCAGGAGATGTAGAACTTTCTGTTGTTATCTCTTCTGTAGTTACAGGCACTTCTGTTGTACCTGTAGAATCACCGGCCGTTGTGCCATCAGGAGATGTAGAACTTTCTGTTGTAGCCTCTTCTGTAGTTACAGGCGTTTCTGTTGTACTTGTAGAATCACCGGCCGTTGTGCCATCAGTAGATACAGAACTTTCTGTTGTTATCTCTTCTGTAGTTACAGGCGTTTCTGTTGTACCTGTAGAATCACTGGGTGTTGTGCCATCAGGAGATGTAGAACTTTCTGTTGTTATCTCTTCTGTAGTTACAGGCGTTTCTGTTGTACCTGTAGAATCACTGGGTGTTGTGCCATCAGGAGATGTAGAACTTTCTGTTGTTATCTCTTCTGTAGTTACAGGCGTTTCTGTTGTACCTGTAGAATCACTGGGTGTTGTGCCATCAGGAGATGTAGAACTTTCTGTTGTTATCTCTTCTGTAGTTACAGGCGTTTCTGTTGTACCTGTAGAATCACTGGGTGTTGTGCCATCAGGAGATGTAGAACTTTCTGTTGTTATCTCTTCTGTAGTTACAGGCGTTTCTGTTGTACCTGTAGAATCACTGGGTGTTGTGCCATCAGGAGATGTAGAACTTTCTGTTGTTATCTCTTCTGTAGTTACAGGCGTTTCTGTTGTACCTGTAGAGTCACTGGCCGTTGTGCCATCAGGAGATGTAGAACTTTCTGTTGTTATCTCTTCTGTAGTTACAGGCGTTTCTGTTGTACCTGTAGAATCACCGGCCGTTGTGCTATCAGTAGATACAGAACTTTCTGTTGTTATCTCTTCTGTAGTTACAGGCGTTTCTGTTGTACCTGTAGAATCACTGGGTGTTGTGCCATCAGGAGATGTAGAACTTTCTGTTGTAGTCTCTTCTGTAGTTACAGGCGTTTCTGTTGCACCTGTAGAATCACCGGCCGTTGTGCCATCAGTAGATACAGAAGTTTCTGTTGTAGCCTCTTCTGTAGTTACAGGCGTTTCTGTTGTACCTGTAGAATCACTGGATGTTGTGCCATCAGGAGATGTAGAACTTTCTGTTGTTATCTCTTCTGTAGTTACAGGCGTTTCTGTTGTACCTGTAGAATCACCGGCCGTTGTGCTATCAGTAGATACAGAACTTTCTGTTGTTATCTCTTCTGTAGTTACAGGCGTTTCTGTTGTACCTGTAGAATCACTGGGTGTTGTGCCATCAGGAGATGTAGAACTTTCTGTTGTTATCTCTTCTGTAGTTACAGGCGTTTCTGTTGCACCTGTAGAATCACCGGCCGTTGTGCCATCAGTAGATACAGAAGTTTCTGTTGTAGCCTCTTCTGTAGTTACAGGCGTTTCTGTTGTACCTGTAGAATCACTGGATGTTGTGCCATCAGGAGATGTAGAACTTTCTGTTGTTATCTCTTCTGTAGTTACAGGCGTTTCTGTTGTACCTGTAGAATCACTGGGTGTTGTGCCATCAGGAGATGTAGAACTTTCTGTTGTAGCCTCTTCTGTAGTTACAGGCGTTTCTGTTGTACCTGTAGAATCACTGGGTGTTGTGCCATCAGGAGATGTAGAACTTTCTGTGGTTATCTCTTCTGTAGTTACAGGCGTTTCTGTTGTACCTGTAGAATCACTGGGTGTTGTGCCATCAGGAGATGTAGAACTTTCTGTTGTAGTCTCTTCTGTAGTTACAGGCGTTTCTGTTGCACCTGTAGAATCACCGGCCGTTGTGCCATCAGTAGATACAGAACTTTCTGTTGTAGCCTCTTCTGTAGTTACAGGCGTTTCTGTTGTACCTGTAGAATCACCGGCCGTTGTGCCATCAGGAGATGTAGAACTTTCTGTTGTTATCTCTTCTGTAGTTACAGGCGTTTCTGTTGTACCTGTAGAATCACTGGCCGTTGTGCCATCAGGAGATGTAGAACTTTCTGTTGTAGCCTCTTCTGTAGTTACAGGCATTTCTGTTGTACCTGTAGAATCACTGGGTGTTGTGCCATCAGGAGATGTAGAACTTTCTGTTGTTATCTCTTCTGTAGTTACAGGCGTTTCTGTTGTACCTGTAGAATCACTGGCCGTTGTGCCATCAGGAGATGTAGAACTTTCTGTTGTAGCCTCTTCTGTAGTTACAGGCATTTCTGTTGTACCTGTAGATTCACCAGCCGTTGTAATATCAGGAGATGTAGAACTTTCTGTTGTTATCTCTTCTGTAGTTACAGGCGTTTCTGTTGTATCTGTAGAATCACTGGCTGTTGTGCCATCAGGAGATGTAGAACTTTCTGTTGTTATCTCTTCTGTAGTTACAGGCATTTCTGTTGTACCTGTAGAATCACCGGCCGTTGTGCCATCAGGAGATGTAGAACTTTCTGTTGTAGTCTCTTCTTTAGTTACAGGCGTTTCTGTGTGTTTATTAAAACAGAAGTGACAATTCTCCATACAGTTTAGCCTCAATAAAAAAAAAAATGTTTAAATAATATTTGTACTGGGCAACAATTAATTGCAACCAAAAATATAAACACATGCACACAATCCAATGGAATAGAAAGAGAAAGAGAAAAGAGAAGATTACTTTCTGTAAAATAAATTATTTAGTAAATAATTTAAGTTTAAAAAACATTTTTGCATCATTTTTCATGTTAAATAAAATTATCAAGTAATTTGCACCTACATTAGATTAAACTGACTTTTTACAAAAACATAGGTTGGTATGAAATAAATCAAACCATAATTTTAATATATATATATATATAATATAATTTATAATATATGTAATTTTGATTTATAGTATAAATATCATATACAATTTTTAGTATACCTTAATTGTTTTGTTTAAGACATAATTAAAAAAAAATTTACTAGAACAATGGGCAAATAAACAGTTAATCAGAATATATAAAACATCCTTATTTCCTATAAACAACCCTAAGTTGTGATTAAAAGATTGTGATGTAAATTACCTGTAGAGCTTGGATCCCCTGTAGAAGATGAAGCATCAGTGTTTGCTGTTGGGAAAAGAATAAAAGTAAAATCAGTTATATATAGAACTGACTGTTGTTTGTGTTATCTGATTAAATAAACAAATCACCACTTTCTGTAATGAGTCTGGTTATGAGGCAAGCGTGCAACACAGGATGAACTATATGAGTTGTAAAAACAGGTTTATTTTTCCCCCCTCTACATTTAGATTAGGTCAGGGTAACTTATGTGCCATATAGTGTGTTCCTGCAATTAGTATTAAAAGGGCATCAACAACAATAAATATTATTAAATATACTTCCATAATTCTTGTCCTTTAGTTATTACCAAGTCTTGGTCAGCATCTGTCAAACATTTTCCTTAAAATACCCTTAAATAAAAAAAATCCCATAAAAACACGATATGCAATCTCCACAAAGAAAACTATGAAATCATAACCCAGAATTATACAAATTCTAAAAATATTATCATGCCATATTCCAATAAATTTCACATACAAAAACTATTCTGTATATCTTGCTAAATACACCTCTCCGGGACAATGTATTGGTAAAAAAACATTCTGTTCCTCATATTTTAGCGCTCAAATTCACAATCCGATTGTATTTTTATTTGCTTCCGTTTTTGCATTTAACAACAGCTCTCATATAGTTTCTTCTGTACTATCCATAAGACACATTTATCAAATTAAATAACTTTTCAAAACTCGTTCTCAAAACTGTTCTCCCAACCATTTATTCATTCAATCATTTTCATTTCGACTTAGTCTCTTTATTAATCAGGAGTCGCCACAGCGGAATGAACCAGCAACTTATCCAGCATATGTTTTACGCAGCCGATGCCCTTCCAGCTGCAACCCATCACTGGGAAACACTCTTATTCACACACACTACGGACAATTTAGCTTACCCAATTCACCTATAGCACATGTTTTTGGACTTTGTAAACCGGAGCATCTGGAGGAAACCCACAGAACATGCAAACTGAAATGCCAACTGACTCAGCTGAGGTTCGAACCAGCAACCTTCTTGCTGCAGGCGACTACCCACTGCGCTGCCCCTTCCTCCAACCATTTCACATTCAAATTGCAATTAAACTACACAATCGCTTAATCCACATCTCAAATCAGCTCCTTCTCCCACATCACTATAGCCAAGGTTTTGTCTGTCATACAATGAGCCAACAGCAGGTAGCAACACAGTATTTCTTCTGTACAAGAAAATCCCTCCGTTATCCAGAACTCACTATACAATGTATGTTAAACAAACTAATCAAATTAGATAAAGTTTGCTTCTAAACAGTTTATGTACTATCCTAAAATGCAAGAATTAACATATACACCATCCACCGGAACAGATATATGCTAATGCTAATCTGTCTCCTGCATTTAGCCACAAGTTATTCTCTGCAGATGTCCTACAAATAATGCGTAGTAAATTTGACAAAACCGTAAGTAACCGAAGTAACCGAAGTGTGTGCGCATAAGTCCAAAAGTCTTTTTATTGTCTCTGGTCTCCTAATTTAGTCTATTCTTATTAAATAAAAAACCTTATTTAGATCATCTTCTCTGTCTACCAGACAATTTGTATTTTTTTTTTAAACCATTCATTTGTTATGCATATATATATTTAGTTTCACCATACCTGAAATAAGAGAAAGACTAAGGATCAGAATAAAACCAGATTTGTAGCGTATCCCAATCATTTTCCAAAATGATGCCAGTCCAGATGCTTGAAAAATAATACACCGGATCCTCAGTCCTGTCCAGATGTAGCCTCTAACACATCTCAGCCTGTGCAACTTTCACACAGTTCAAAGCCATTTACTGACCCAAGTACATGGTACAGCTATTAAAAGTTACTCACTCTAAAAACCTTAATCATAAATCAAAGTCCACTGTAGGAGAGGTGTTGCACAGATCATGACACACTTATTAAGATAGGAGTCTTTTTCCTCAAAACGTTTTACATTCTACTTATTGTCCACCGCCATTTTATAATATGCATGAATTTTCTCAAAGATTTAGTTTCACTCAATTAACATGTGAACATACTCTCATGACCTGGGTAAAATGGCTGACAAAGTGGTTAAGTAGCCCTTAAAAGAATAAAAGACATTCCTTTTAAATTATATGTTTAAATAATATATTACATCATAAAGGCAAAGTTATTTAACCACTTAACTGTCATCCCACATTTGGAGTTAACAAATGTGTTATATTACGTATTAAACATAGTTTTTCAAGATAAAGTCTAGTTTAAAGTTTAGGTTTAACATTTTTTAAATTTACTTAAAATAGTTAAGTGGTAACTGTATTCAGTTTAGTCTTTAAGCCATTATTTAATAAACAATTAAAATAAACATAAAAATAGAAACATGCAATCTTCTCATAAACCTATGGACTTCCCATTTGTGTTTTAAAAAAAAAAAAGAGAGAGAGAATGTGAAGCTACTATATTGAGTCTCTCTGTAAAATTTTTCTTCCTAGTTTAATTGAGATATGTTTTTTTAAAAGCCCCAATTACTAAAAAAAATAAAATCCCTGGATGCCTTTTTTTAAGTAATTAGAAAGCTTCTCTTATTGTTCCTCTATTTATAATAATGAGCTTCCATTTATTCTCAAATAAAATCAAGAAAATTACACTGAGAAAATGCTTTTTTTGCTTAGAGTTTTTTTCTAGTTTCTAGTCCAAATATGTAAGAATTTTTTAATTAAAATAATTTAAAAAGTCAAAAATATTGTCTTGTTTTTAGGAATAATTAATCAGAATGAAGTGAGTTTCCCTTAAAAGACGCAAAATCTGCTAAAGGGGTAAGAAAATAATCTTATTTCAAAGCAAAAAATATTATTTTGCTTACTCCATTTACAGATTATTTTTCAGCTTGTCTCGAGGTAAAACTTGATTTATTATTTCTCAAAACAGGACAATATTTGTTTAATTGTCTAGAAAATACATTTAGAAACAAGACAAAGGGCTCTATTTTGACAGTCCATGCGCAGAGTGCAAAACGCAGGGCGCAAACACTTTCAGGGCGTGTCAGAATGCATTTTTGCTAATTTAAGGACGGGAAAATCTGCTTTGCGCCGTGGCGCATGGGCTAAAAGGGTTGAGTTTATTTTCTTAATGAGTTATAGGTTGTTTTGAGAATAAACCAATTAGAGTCTCATCTCCCAATCCCTTTAAGAGCCAGCTGCGTCGCCCCATAAGCGCATTTGCTACTTACAGGACTTAAAGTAAGTCTAAGTGGAAAAACTGATCATTTCACTAGCAAATAGTTTTTTAACAGAAAATTGTTAAACAGAGCATCTACAGCGTGAGAATGAGAGATAATGGAACTACTTTCACTTTCTCTCTTGGATAGGGAAACCTTTATGCACAGACATCAATTAGTCTATAAATAATTAATTGCATTTAAGCGCAAATATTTGTTTCAAAACTATTTCTAAATTCAGTTCTAATTTCCAGCAAACGAATAAATGAACAATAATAACGAAGTGTGCTCAAAAAGTTATATCCTAAAACACATGCTGTGCCCCATATGGTCTAAACCCTGACAGGTGGGCAAATCTAAGCTTGTTTTTAATAAAACAAATATAAATATGGATATAATAAATAATACTGCAAATAATAATAACATTATACAAAAGTAAATTGTTATGAATGAACTGAAAAAGCCTCCCGAGATGAAGAAGACATAAAAGCAGTGATTTTTCATATTTATGTAGGCTAGAAAATAATATGTTTTGTAATATTTTAATCCTTTATATTTATATCCTATATCTATTCTTATTAAATCCTATATATATCCTTAATATTAAAATTTTTTCATATGTAAAGATATTTGCCTATTGCTCTCTTGTGCGTATTAAGCAGTTTGTAAGCGAGGCGCAACTCTGCGCTGGAGTTTAGACCGGGTTTGTTTTGGTCTAATGAAAAATCTATTAGTTTCTCAAAATAGCAACGCGCCAGCAGTGCGCCTCAGAACTCCTTCCTTTTTAGACCAGAACGCCTATGGGCGCACATATGAGCGCTAATGCATTTGCTATTTAAACAGCGTAGCGCAACGCCTCAAAACGACTCTTATGCCAAGTTGAAACTAGTGTGTATATGATAGGGCCCAAAATCTCTAAGTAAGCATTTCTTTCAGTGTACATTTACAAAAAACCATTACATCAATATCATTTAGACCAATATCAGTTACCTCTGGATAACTCTCCACAACAGACATGCATGGATGGATAGATAACAAAATACAAAATATATTTCAATTAAATTCATTGATTAATTTAATATTGAAAATAGGGCTGAATGATATTGGAAAAATCTGGCATTACAATATTTTTTTTGCTGATATATATTGCGAAATGGGGTGTCACAGTGGCGCAGTGGGCAGCAAAATCACCTCACAGACAGAAGGTCTCTGGTTCGAGGCTCAGCTGGGTCAGTTGGCATTTCTGTGTGGAGTTTGCATGTTTTCCCCGTGTTAAGGTGGGTTTCCTCCGGGTGCTCTGGTTTCCCTCACAAGTCCAAAGACATGGGTTATAGGAGAATTGGGTTAGCTAAATTGGCCGAAGTGTATGTGGGTGAATGAGTGTGTATGGATGTTTCCCAGTGATGGGTTGCAGCTGGAAGGGCATTCGCTACGTAAAACATTTGCTGGATAAGTTGGCTGTTCATTTTACTGTGGCGACCCCAGATTAATAACTATGGACTAAGCCAAAAAGAAAATGAAAAATTGAATGAATATAATAATAATAATGAATATAATTTGACCAGATGATTTGAATAGCCCTATTCGGAAATATTTAATTCAATCCAAGCATATTTAAAACGACAGAGCACAAATTAATGTTAAACAAATAGAGGTTTCCTGAGAAGTCTAACAGTATTGAAATATAGAAATTGAACTATCAAACGTAAAAATACACGGTGATCATTGTATAAACAATTTCATACAATAATATAAGATAATATTAAATAATATCTGATCTATTTAATAACTTTCTATCTTAAATAAATAATCA